TTTGGATATCCACCTAAGAGTAGAATTGCTGGATCATATGGTAATTGTATTTTTAGTTATTTGAGAAATTGCCAGACTTTTCTGAAGTGGCTGCACCATTTTACATTCCCACCAACAGTGCACAAACATTCTAATTTCTCCACATCTGCCAACATTGTTGTTTTCTGTCTTTTTTTTTTTTTTTTTAAATAGTAGCCATCCTATAGAGTGTGAGGTGGATAGTATGTTCCCTTTTAAAATTTTTCAGTGCTCCGTTGTTAAGGCAGCCCCAGGGTCTAGATATTGAGGATGGTTCCTAGGAGCATATTGCCAGGTGGGGCCCATGACTCTGTCATTTTAAAATAATTATTGAGAAGATTTCTTGCTTTCAGATAGATTTACAAAAAAGTTATTCAGTAGAGGGGATAGTGAAAGAGATCAATGCACCACTAATTTATGCTAAAGATCTATCAAAACACCTTATGCTTATTTGTGGTAGAAAAATACACTAGACCAATTCAGTGGCACCCATAGTGGGAAGATGACAGGAAATCTGAGTCTTGGCTCTGTCTTTGCCATGAGGGGAACTTTGCCCACATCATTTCCCATTTCTGGGCTTATTACTTTAAAATGAGCTTGTTGGAACAACTCACTCAGGATCCTTCTAGCTTCCAAGTTCTCAGATTCTGCACAATAGTCTTGACCTTGCTTATTGCAAAGGGGGAGGGATGCTTTGTTCTTGAGGACAAGGGAACAGAGCAACAATTAGTTTAAATTATTCAAGATGCCTCTTCGGTTGCTAAGAACTAAGGAGAGCAGCTTTTATCTTGGAATGGTTAGAGCTGGAATTGGACCTTGCAGGTCATGGTGGGCCAATGTGCTCATTTTACAGATGAGAGCTGGGACACAAGAGACAGGGTAATGCCATCTAGTTATGAACTTTCTCTTTCTTATGAGTAAAAAGTATCAACAGCAGTAAGGGGGGACATAATAGGGACCTTGACAGAACCAAAATAGAAGTTACTTCGAAATTCAAAGACCCGGTTTCCAATCTGGTGGCATAGTTCACCAGCCCTATCTGTGGTCTTGGGCACTTCCCTCATTGCTGTTTGTCCTGTCCTCAGTTTTCTCATCTGAAAGGCTGAAATATTGTGAGAGTCAGCATGAGATAATGTATATGAGAGAAATTGTACAAAGATGTTGTCAATACCACTGGCACATAGCTGTACAATTAGAAGTTTACTTATCTCGCCAAGCAGACATGTTAATATCTAAGTTTAACATTGAGAGTGATGGTTTCTTTTATAAAATGATTCACTATAAGAAGTATCAGAGTTGTAAAGAATCATTTTTTTAAATTATAGTACATCCTTTTAGGAATCATCCTACCCCACCTTTTTTGGTATGAAGCTAGTTAAACCTGTACCACTAGCAAAGTTAGAAAAATGCGTGTTTTGATATTTATATATATATGTGACTTATATTAGCATGGAAGATCAAGGTGGCTCCAGACAGCTCTGACGATTACTCCATTTGAAAAGGAAGGCAAGGCTGTGTTCACCTCTGGTTGTGTTTGTTAAAGCCAAGCTAGTTTCTTTAGTTGAGAAGGAAGTATATCAGATCCAGAGAGCTTCAATTAAACTTGTGAAATGAGCTGGTTAGGGTTTCTTGTACTCTTTTCTTTGTAGGTATCATTTGTTATTTTAGCTTTCTGGCTTACTGTAAATCAGAACTAAATCATGGGCCCTGGCATGCAGGGCACTTGACTGACCACTTTTGAGCCCCACTTTCCCCAGTTGTAAGTGGCCATACTACTCTCACTTCTGCTCATTGCATAGGGGTTGAGGTGAGGTTTATAAAAGGTATATTTTATATTTTAACTTGAAAGGACAAGGTGTGATCCTTGGCTTCAGGAGAATGTAGAAGAATGTAAGAGAAAAATCAAGCAAACATACAGTTTTCTCTACTGTCATACAACACTTCTGACACCAGCTATGTGGGTCTCTTCCTCACCAAGCAGTTCTCCAGTTCTCTGTGGACACCAACTCTGTCCTACAATTTGATTCTATTCTGATACTGTCTACCTAGAGTTGGTGTCAGATCCCTCAGGTTGAGAGCTTGGTCCCACAAGACTGCCCCTCACTTCAGATGCTAGTCCCAGGTCTAGGCTTCTGGTGCTTCTGACTGACTGGCTATAAATCGAAGTTCCCATGATCCCCTCCTTGGGCTTGCTCATCTGCTAGAGTGGCTCACAGAACTCAGGGAAACGATTCACTTACTTGTTTATTATAAAGAGTACAAGTTCGGAGCAGCCAAATGGGTGCATAGAACTGGGTGGTGGGTAAGTGCCGAGCTTCCATGGCCTCTCGGGGCACCCCACCTTCCCAGCACCTCCATGTGTTCACCAACTTCGAAGCTCACTGAGCCCCTTCCTTTAGGGTTTTTATGGAGGCTTTATTGCATAGGCAAGATTGATTAACTCATTGGCCATTAGTGATTAAACTTAATCTCTGTCCCTTCTCCTTCCCTGGAGGTCAGGTGGGGAGGTTGGACTGAGAGCACCAACTCTCTAATCACAGGTTTGTATCTTTGGCAACTGTCCCCCTCCTCCCAGTCACTTCTCTAGCATAAATTCAGGTATGATTGAAAGAGGTTTATGAATGACAAAAGATGCTTCTCTCGCCTTCATTGCTCTGGAGTTGTTAAGAAGCTGCTTCAGGGGCAGGGGGTAAAAACCAAATATTATTATGAAAGATATTCCTATTGGTCTTATCACTTAGTCTATTACAAGGGGTTTAGGAACTGTGGCCTGGGACCCAGGGATGAAGACTATTATTATTATCTCACAAGATCACAGCATCACCAAATGATAGGCCACCATATGGGAACAACAGCAGAGCAAAAAAAGGTCCCACAACCAACCTGTCTACATAGCAGGCCAGTCAGCCACAGGTGTACATGTACTGTGGCGGTTCCTGGAATCACTGTAAGTGACCCAGGGGGGGTGGTGTCAGTGTGGTCATGGTGCTCTGGGGTAGTTGCCTTAAAGAATTGGAGCAGTGTGGACCAGGAGAAAGGGAGAGGTCTTGCAATTGATTGGAAAGTTACATTGTGCAAATTCTTCATGTTGGGGTGGCATTTGAAACCAGGTGACTTCACAAATCCACCAAAATGTTAGAAGAGGAGAAGAGAGTTGGGAGACTCAGCCCTGAAATCTTAAGTCACTTTGAGCTGGAGAAGAAGAGGCCCCTGAGAGGGACAAGGTCACTGAAAGGCACCACATCCCTGAAGGGAGGCCGGAGGATGGTAGATAGACAGCCTGACCTGAGGAAGCAGAACAAGGCATGAAGGGAGGAAGGCTGAGTGTTTGGCCAGTCTTTGGCATAAGGACATAAATGCTGTGGGCTAGTCTAAGGTATCTGAGTCAAGTCCGTCGACTGGGACATCCGGGTACAGTGACAGGGCATGGTGATGGGCCGGCTGTGTGGAGCGACAGGTGTGGGTCTGCGCCCTGGAGGTGGTCAGCAGCCCAGAGGTATGGGGAGAAGGCCAGAGCCCCGGGATGCTGACGCCTAGCTTGTCCCTTTCCCTCCTTTTCTTCTGTCACCATCTCAGGGGCAACATTTCTCTCTCAGCCTTCTTGCCATCATGTTCTTTCCTTGTTGGTCTTCTCTGCATTTTTACTGTGCTGCTTTTTCTAAATCAAGCGTTGTCTTATTGTTCCAGAGTCCAATGGCCTCACCTGTGGAGCCTGAGTCTCCTGGCATGGTTTCCGTCTCTCCTTCCTTCCCTCCTGTGCATTCTCTTTTCTCTTCCAGAGAGCATAGCTCCCTCTTCCAGTCAGGTGGTTTCAGGCTCCTGCGACTTTGCACATACCTCTCACTCTCCTGCAGTGCCCTGTTCACTTTCTTGTCTGAAAGTGTCCTGGTCCTCCCCCAGGCTTGCCTGAGAGCCAGCTTCTCTATGATGCCTCTTCCTTCTCTTTCCTTGGTCATAACTTTCTTAGCATTTCCTTAAAACAAAGCAAACACAGCAACACATCTATTTTAGTTACTTGTGTGTTCCCTCCCCATCATGAGCATGTAAGTCCCTTCAGAGCACAGGGACTGTCTTTTTTATCTCTGTGTCTCTGTGGAGTGGATTGCAATTGACAAGTGGGCAGCAGCAGCAGGGTGCCCATGTTCCCTGGAGAAGTCAGACAGGCAGGCAAAGGCCTGGGTGGAAATGGTTACAAATAAAAATCATCTGTTTCTTTTCTCAAGTATAAATAGTCATTTGTTTTTCAGCTAGTGTTATTAAGTAGTTGCTTCGGCATAGTGGGAGACACTCAGCTGTGTGAAGTACAGTCTCTTTTTTCAAGAGTCGTAAGAGATCTTTTTTCAAGAGTCGAGCCGGCTAGGTGGCTCAGCCTGTAATCCCGTGCCTTTGGGAAGCTGAGGTGAGTGGATTGCCTGAGCCCGTGGGTTCGAGACCCGCCTGGGCAGTGAGACCTCATCTCTACAATAAATTAAAAATTCAGCCAGGCATGGTAGCGCATGCCTGTAATTACGGCTACTTGGAAGGCTGAGGGGAAAGGACTGCCGGAGCCCAGCAGGTCGAGGCTGCAGTGCCCGGGAGCAGCCACTGCACCCCAGTCTGGGCGACAGAGTGAGACTCCAACTCAAAAAAAAAAAAAAGTTAGTGATGACAGAACACAGGCCGGGGCAACTGTCATAAGGGTGTTAGAAACACGTTTCACAGGACTTCAGAGAAGACAGCCCAGTGATGACTGAGATGAGACATCGTGGGGTCAGGGATGTCTGTGTGGGACACTGGGAGGATGGAGATTGGTGAGCTTGCTGATGGGCCTGGGGCAATGGACTTTGGAAGGTTGGTGTTGTGGAGTGCATTCCAGAATCAAAATGATCTGAGTGAAGTGTAGAAGTCAAGTGCGTAATCTACATTTTTTATTGGCTCTGGATGGCCTTACCCGAATTAATTGTTGTACGTTTGTATATGTTGTTTGTTTCTCTGTTTTCCAGGCTCAGACCATGAATTACGTTGGGCAGTTAGCCGGCCAGGTGTTTGTCACCGTGAAGGAACTCTACAAGGGGTTGAACCCGGCCACACTGTCTGGATGCATCGACATCATCGTGGTTCGCCAGCCCAACGGGAATCTTCAGTGCTCCCCTTTCCATGTCCGCTTTGGGAAGATGGGTGTTCTGCGCTCACGTGAGAAAGTGGTAAGAGCGTGGGACTCAGCGACCTGGTGCACTGGCTCTCTCCTGAGAGAAAAATCAGTGTATTTCTGTGGCATCACTATCTTGAACTCTCAGGCCTATATCTTTAGGACTCCACTGGAGATGGAATTGGTGATTACTAATTAAAATTATTTTAGCTAGTATGGCTGCATAAATTACTCTAAAATGCAGTGGCATATGTCAACTGTTTATCAAACTCCTGGCTTCCGGGGGTCAGGAATTCAAATAGAGCACAGCAGTGGTGGTCTGTCTCTGCTGTCTGGTACCTCAGTTGGAAGACCCACCAAAAGCCTGTGAATGGGAGACATCTGATTGCTTGCTTTTTCCTGTGACTGGTGGTTGACTCTGCCTCTTGGCTGCGCCACCTACACATGGCCTCTCTACATGATCTGGCATTCCTACAACATGGCAGTGGTTTTGAGGCCAAGAGAGAGCCAGGTGGATACTCGTGTTTTTGTGACCTAGCCTTGTGAGCCATATGATGTCACTTCTGTTATGCTTTACTAGTTGGGCAATCACAAGCCTGCCCAGGGTTCAAGGGGAGGGGAAATAGCTAGGCCTTTCTTGATGAGGAGTGGCAAGGTTCTGGAAGGGCATGTAGGACCAGAAATATTGATGCGGCCAATTTTGGAAAAGACAATCTGCTGCACAAATTAAAAAAGAAGTCCTTAAAAATAGATTATCCATTTAATGTCCCCACTTAATGTAGAACTTGGAATGATGTCTAATGATTGATCCTTTCAGTTAAGTTCAGGTGAATGCTCTTCGCTGAGAGTATTTCAAGGATCTCAGCCAGTAGCGAATGAGTGTTCCAGGGTGTAATTTCTAAAGTCTGGGCCTGGGGAGTCTTTAATTGCAGCTTAAACTCTAACCAGCCGTGTGACCTGGGCCAGCCACTCCTCTTGTCCTGGCCTCAGCCCATCAGCTGGGAAAGGAGGAACTGGACCGGGTGGTCTCAGAGTCACCTTCCTATTTTGGGTTCCATCCTTCCCAGTCAGGGTCTGCCATCCTGAACTCAGCATCCCTCCAGTGCTCAGGGGGCAGCAGTGCTGGAATGAATTGCTGACTGAGAGTTGGAGTTGTGAACTACTTGCATCTCTAGAGACATGGCCATGAGGTTTTCTGTGGTCAAGGCAGCTCATTCTTTTCTTAACTGTGTTTTTTCTTCAGGTTGACATAGAAATCAATGGGGAATCTGTGGATTTGCATATGAAATTGGGAGATAATGGAGAAGCATTTTTTGTTCAAGAAACTGATAACGATCAGGTAAGGAAGACTGGATGCTCAGGGTTACTTCCCAGTTTGATCTTTGGACAATGCTTTTCTGGAGACACGGGAGAAGTTTGTGCAAAGAGGTAATATTGGTCCTGGCTGACAAAGCAGAAAAGTGGCCTTGTACCTATACAAGGGATTGGAGCCAGAAGGACCAGGTGTATGCAGAGTCCACAGACTTGGGGCTTCAGTTTGTTTACTGCTTCTAGGAGACAGAGGGACGGGCTTTACACATTGGCCTGAACCGTAGTCTGAAGCTTACAAATTACACTGGTGTGTCAAATCTCAGATGACTGAATATTCTCACTTTTATTGAGTGGCCAAATCACTTTTATTAAAAAAAAATTATCAGCTTTATTGAGCTATATCTATATTATTGTACACAACTTTCAAGTGTGCAATTCAGTGGCTTTTAGTACAGCCATGCATTGCTTAACAAAGGGGATATGTCCTGACAAATGTGTTGTTAGGGGATTTTGTTGTCATACAAACCACCTTAGAGTGTACTTCCACACACCTAGGTGGTAGAGCCTACTACACACCTAGGCTATACAGTGTAGTCTACTGTTATTCAGTACACTGTACTGAATACTGTAGGCGACTGTAACACAGTGGTAAGTATTTGTACATCTAAACATATTTAAACAATCTTATGGGACCCCCGTTGTATATGTGGTCCATCATTGACCAAAACATGGTATATGACCGTATTTTCGCAGATATGTGTGACCATCATCACAGTCAATTTTAGAACGTTTTCATCACCTCAGAAAGAAACACTGTACCTTTAACTATCACTTCCCCTGTCCTCAACTCCAACCCCCGAGTCTTAAGCAACCACAAATCTACTTTCTGCCTCTCTAGATTCCTCTATTCTGAACTTTCATGAGTGGAATAACAGCATGAGGCCTTTGTGCATGGCTTCTTTCCCTTAGCATAATCGTTTGAAGGTTCATGCATGTTGTTGCTTGTATTAATACTTCATTCCTTTTTTATTTCATTGAATCTATGTACCCCATTTTGTGTATCCATTCATGTGTTGTTGGGCACTTGGGTTGTTTCTACCTTTTGACTATGTGAATAATGCTTCTGTGAACATTCATGTATAAGTTTTTGTGTGGATGTACATTTTTATTTTTCTTGGGTATATACCTAGGAGTGGAGTTGCTGGGTTGTGTGGTAGCTCTGTGTTTAACATTTGAGAAACTGCCAGACTGTTTTCCAAATTGGTTGCACTGTTTAATATTTCCACCACCAGTGTATGAAGGTTCTGAGTTGTCCATATCCTTGCCAGTACTTGTAATCTGACTTTGTGATTCCAGCCATCTTAGTGGGTGTAAAGAAGTAGGTCATTGTGGTTTTGATTTGCATTCCCTAATAATGAGTGACATGGAACATGGACTTATTGTCCATTTGTATATCTTCCCTGGAGAAATGTCTGTTCATATCTTTTTCTTGTTTTTCTGGTTAGGTTTTTTGTCTTTTTATTATTGAGTTATAAGAGTTCATTATACAAGGAGGACACCCCCCCAAAAAAAACCCCCAAATGGGATAATTTTTGGAGGATGGGCTCCATGCAGTACAGGCTTCCTCTGCTGGGTGAGTATTCTAGGCACCCATTGGCATCAGTGGACCAACAACGTTGTTGCGAGAGGCTGCATTTGGCTTTGGTGAATTTTGGGGGGGAGATTCTTTCAGCACATTTGCCCACTTCATGATGGGTGATTTACGAGCACATCTGCCAACACTGAGCTGAGTGTTCAGCAGTTTTTTGACTAAAACGGGATGACACCCATGCCAGCCTCCCTATTAACCTGATCTTGTCCCCAGTGACATTTTTTTATTTCCCTGGATGAAAAATTTTTTGAAAGAGAATGTTTTACTGATGTGGAAAAGGTGAAGCACTAAAAGGAATCAAAACTGACAAGTTCAAAAACTGATTTGAGAAGCAGGAAAAGCGTCTTCATCGGTGTATTGCATCAAACAGAGAGTACTTTGAAGGTGCCTAAAGTTTAAACATGTAAGAATAAATACACAATTTTTAATAAATAAATCCTGGGTTTTTTGGGTCCCCCCTCGTATATTCTAGGTACAAGTGTCTTACCAGGTATATGACTCATAGATATTTTTTCCCATTGTGTGGGTTGTCTTTTCACTTGCCTGATGGGTGTCCTTTGAAGCACATAATCTTCTAATTTTAATGAAGTTCAATTTATCTGTTTTTTTCTTTTGTTGTGCATGTTTTAATGTCATATACCTGTAAGAATTCTTTGTTAAATCCAAGGTAATGAAGATTTATAACTATGTTTTCTTCTAACACAAACCACTTCTTTTGCTCTTTCATTCACTGATGAAGCCACTTTGAAGGAATCTGACTTAGCAATTCCTCAATGACGTCCACTTGAACTAGTTCCGTTTGGGAAGATAGCATGATTAAAAGGACTCTGTGTAGCTCCCAAGCTCTAAAGTGAATGACTATAATTTCAGTTTTGGGATAGAACATTCCCAGGTACTACCTCCGTCAGGCCTGCCCAAGGTATGGCATCTGGGGAGGATCCCAGCACCTCATCCTGTGCCTCTCACTTTCTGGGGTGATCTGGGGCCATCAGGGATCCCTGCCCATCTGCTCCTTATCTCTCTTAAGTGTGAAGTCCTTGAGAATTAATTGGTTTTTAGTGGTGCTTTAACAGAAACTTCTTTCACTTTAAACAGAATCTGCATTTTTTTTTTTACTGAGTCGGAGTCTCCCTCCATCACCCAGGCTAGAGTACAGTGACTTGATCATGGCTTACGCAGCTTCGACTTCCTGGGCTCAGATGATCCTTCCACCTTGGCCTCCCAAAGTGCTGGGACTATAGGCATAAGCCACTGCACCCCCAGGTGACACCTGCTTTTTTTTTTGAGTCAGTCTCACTCTGTTGCCCAGTGGAGTGCAGTGGCATGCTCATGGCTACTGCAGCCTTGATCTGCTGGACTCAGGTGATCCTTCTGCCTCAGCCTCCCATGTAGCTGAGACTACAGGCACACGCCACCATGCCTGGCTGATTTTTTGACTTACTGTAGAGGCAAAGTCTCATCAAGTTGCCCAGGCTAGTCTCAAACTTCTTGGCTCAGGCAGTCCTCTTGCCTTGGCCTTCCAGAGTGCTGGGATTGCAGGCGTGGACCACTGTGCCTGGCATGACTCTTCCATTTTAAACTTCTGTTTGCTCCTGGCCTTAGACACAGATTTTAGACTGTCAGAGCTGAGGCGGTGTTTTGGGCCAAGATGTGGTAGGAGCTGTTGGTGGCCTGACGGGTGCCTGTGGGTGCATTGGGGCCTCTCAGACCAGAGATGTTTGGTCCCATGCAGATGTCTATTAGGATACCTGGAGACTGCTAGAAGTCAGGGAGCCCGTGTCCTTCAGCACCACCTGTCATTATTCAATGCTGCTCCGCTCTGCCTCAGCAGGTCTGACTGCCTCCCCATGTGCTCGCCGCCCCTTTCCTTTCCAGTCTGAGAATGGCTGAGGGCCCTTCTCTCTTCTTGACCCGAGTTTGTGTTTTTTCTTCATTTGGTCCGGTCCAATAGCCAGGTGACCACTCACTCCCTGCCACCCTAAGGCTAGATCTCTTGGTTGTTGACTTATATTTTTAGCATGTCTGGTGCTCTCTAAACCTATTTAAACTATCTATCAGCAGCAAATTTCTGTTTATATATATACAGAAATATATATAAATATATGTATTCTTTTGTTACCAAATTTTTAATATATTTTTTTTGTTACCAGGTTTTTTTAAATAATAGATGAGTTATTCAGTAATAAAATGATTGCTACAGTTTAAAAAAACTGTGAAATTTTTAATCAAACAACTATTAAATCAACAGGTTGTGTGTTTTTTTCCTTTTGTCATTAAGAAGAGGGTCAGAATCTAATTCCTTGATATTCACATACCTGGATGTGTCCTGGTATAAATGTTTTAAATGTTTTTGGTTTTAGATTGTTAGTATCATCTTAATTTAGTGCATATTTTGAAATACACATACATTCTCTCTCTCCTTCTTACACACACACACACACACACACACACACACACACACACACACACACACACCCATCCACAATCCATCCATTCATCCACGCATACCCACTTACACTGAAATGCAATATTGAGTCCAGTTCCCAGTATAACACGATGATTCAAAACCCATTTTTTTCCCCTCTTTGCTCTGGAACAAAGTTGAATTTTGAAATCACAGATAACTACTTCACTTGGTTATAATTGTGTAGATACAGGATTGAGCACAAAATGGTATTAAATAAATTGTTGGCTTTCTGATCTTCTACCAGATTGACAGCCACATCTCCAGATTGCTATGCCTGTGACATCTAGCTGAGCTGTCCTGCCGTGGCCCTCCCCAAGGAATGCTTGGCCTTCAAAGTAAACGGAGACCCGTGGCATGGCCCTGTTCCTTACACCCAAATTAACGAGATTCTTTTTTAAATTACATTCTTTTCTTTAGGAAGTGATCCCCATGTACCTGGCTACATCACCTATCCTGTCAGAAGGAGCTTCGAGAATGGAATGCCAGCTGAAAAGGAACTCTGTCGATAGAATAAGAGGCCTGGACCCTAACACACCAGCTCAAGTTATACCTCCCATTGAGACCCCATCCAGTAGTTCTTTAGTAAAGAAGAGAAGAAAAAGGAGGAGAAAGTCACAGCTGGATAGCCTGAAAAGAGATGACAACATCAACACGTCTGAAGATGAAGACATGTTCCCCATTGAGATGAGCTCGGATGAGGACACAGAGCTGCTGGACAGCAGTAGGTAACTGTCCAGGACAGGTGGGGCTGCATTAGGATTGGACGACTTACCTTTTCAAGATGATTTTTATAAACTCTCTTTTTTCCAGAATTTCTTATTCTTCTGTTATGCATTTTAGGCTGAATTTTGGAATCATGTGGCCCAATCTCCGAGTGGTTTAAAGATTTGATGTGCTTATAGCTGAGAGACAGTTGGTGATGCCAAACCTCCTGAGCTGGTCACCTCAGTAGCCTGGGATAGAATCAAGAGACAGGAGCTGAGCAAATTAGTAGTTCATGACCAAAACCATTTTCTGAACCTATTTATTCTCCTTTGAGCACCAACTATGAATGCTACAATTGAGCTGATTTATAGGTAGGGGCTGATCTGTGATAGAATTAGGGTTAAAAATGAAATGAGGAACATGCTCAGTTTTTCTCTACAAGTAAACTTTTTCCTTTGAAGTTTTGATCATGCCCAATGCTTAATGGATATTTTGTTCTATTTTTCTTTGCTTTTTGACAGTATATAGTGAAATTCTGTTTGTATGTATGACTATTTTGGTGAAAAATGCCAGGTTTAAAAGATAAAATTCATTTTTATGGGATACATTTTTAAAGAATACTTTAGATTTTGGGGTAAATTCAGTATAATTTTTGAGAATTGTTTCTACATCTTGTTAACGATAAGAAGGCATAAAAGAACATCAGGAATATCTTCCTGCTTCATTCAGATAGAATATGTATATTTTTTTGGCTAAAAATAAAGATGCTGGCCAGGCTCAGTGGCTTAGCCTATAATCCCAGCACTTTGGGAGGCCGAGGTGAGTGGATTGCCTGAGCCCACGGGTTTGAGACCCACCTGGACAACTTGACGAGACCTCATCTCTACAATAAATAAAAAATTAGCCAGGTGTGGTAGCACACGCCTGTAGTTCTAGCTACTTGGAAGGCTGAGGCGGAAGGATCACTGGAGTCCAGCAGGTCGAACCTGCAGTGGCCGGGAGCGACCACTGAACTCCAGTCTGGGTGACAGAGTGAGACTCCAACTCAAAAAAAAAATAAAAAAATAAAAAAAAAAGCTAAAAATGCTTTGCTTTTTCTAATCTGCCTGTAACCTGCTATAGGCTCCAAAACTGGGTAATTAGATTTCTTACAACTGTCATCCCTGGATAGCTTTTAATCCTAGAATTTTGTGATAGGTATTTCAGGTAACATAAAAAATACCGACAGATGGCCTCTGCAGGGGTGAAATAGTGAACTACATTTAGTAATGAGTGTGCTTGTACTGAAACTAGGTAGTTTTGGAATCATTTTGTAATCATAAGATACATTTGGTTGAAGTCATTTATTTCTTTTGCTAGACGAAACATGATCTGGGTATGGCCATTGAGTTATTCAGCAGCTCTGTATCTGGCAAGGGTTTTATACCACCCTGGGGCCAGATTTGGGCTGACCTACCTCCTAGGCTTTTGGGGGGTATAATTTACCCCCAATCATAGGTACTATCATGGAAATAGTGAGTAGGTGTTCATCATATCCATGTCCAAGTCCAAATGCTGAAGCAAAGTCATTTTAAATTTATAATTCAGCCAAAGCATAAACAGACACACACATTTATGCATGCTTATGTCTCACGTTTCCCCTCTTCTTTGCCTGCAGTATGCCTGGGTCTTTTAAAAGGGACACGTTAATCACAAAGCACTTAGAGATAATCAAGAAAAAATTGGAACTTGACTTTATTGTTAATCTACCACTAATTCTTTGACTTTAATATTTTTTTCTCCAGAACTCTTCCTAATGATATACCTCCATTCCAAGATGATATTCCTAAGGAAAACCTTTCCCCAGTCTCGACCTACCCTCAGTCAGCTTCATACCCTAATTCAGATAGAGAGTGGTCACCCAGTCCCAGGTAAGCTACTTGTGCATATGTTCAGTGTGTTCACCTGTCCCTGTACAGGGGATTTGGAGTTAGCTATAGGAAGCATGTCTAAGAAAATAAAATGAAATAGAAATAAAAAAAGAAAATAATTAGGACCAGAAAAAAAGGCAATGTAGCATGGGAAGTAAAGATTAGGGTTAAAAACAGAACACACACATGTCATAAACTTCTCTCTAGTGTTGGAATCCATCTGCAAATATGGCTCTTAGCTCCCTGGAAGAGAACTTGAAAGGAAAAACACTTAACATTAGATAATGTTAATTGTTAATAGGAGAAAGCAAGGTGGCAGACGCTTTCTTGATCTTTAGAATGAAAGTAAAATTCAAAGCCAGAGACATTGTTTCAGGGACCACTGAGTTCATTCAGGGATGTTAGAATGATGCTTCCCTCACACTTAATCCATTCTTCTGAATTCAAGAATATTTATTTCACTGAAATGAATTCACAAGTTGCCCTAGAGATCCAATATAATCGTAGAGAACTAGAGTTGTTCTGTGTGCAGACTGCCATCCTGAACACTCTAGAGATTTCTAAATCAATGAAATCTCTAAGCCTATGTGAGCCCTGTGGGGTGGTTTTTCCAGAGGACTGGGAAAGGGGACAGATCTAAATTGTGCATTTTCAACACAGAGTGTATTCCCACCATTGGAACAAAAGTTTGTTCTTGGGTGGCAACAAATTATTAGGCATTATAATGGTTTGTGGTCTTTAAAGGGTAGTAGCGCTAAAACCTCATGGTAGTTAAAGGTCTGCTATTAATTTCTCAAAATGCTTAGGGGTATGGTAGTAATGAAAAAGAGATTGAGGCTGGGTATGGTGACTCATGGCTATAATCCCAGCACTTTGAGAGGCCAAAGCAGGAAGATCACTTGAGTCCTGGAGTTTGAGACCAGCTTAAGCAACATAGAAAGATCCTATCTCTACAAAAATTAAACAATTAGGTGGACATCATGGCATGTGCCTGTAGTCCCAGCTTGCTTGGGAGGCAGAGGCAGAAGGATTGCTTTGACCCAAGGAGTTTGAGGATGCAGTGAGCTGTGATTGTGCCACTGCATTCAGCCTAGGCAACAGATTGACACCCCAACTCAAAAAACAAACAAACAAACAAACAAAAAAGAGGCTGAGAAACACTGGTCTAAATGCTTTACTTCTGGTTCAGGATAGATGTGTATAAGCCCCTGGAAGCTCTGGTACTTGCTACAGTGGCTTCCTACCTAAAGCCAATCTTATCGAAACATCACTCCTGTTTTCAGTTTGATCAGAGTAATTTTGTGAATGAGACAGTAGCAGTTTGAAGTATGTCCTGAAGTTGAGATTGGAGAAAAAATAGACCTGTTCCATACCTGGTTTCCAGTTAAGACTGGCATTGTCTATTAGTACCCCTGGCTGTGACAGGGGTTGTGATGAAGCCCCACCTTGAGGTGTCAGAGACCAGCCTGTTCACTAGAATGTAATGAATAGCTGCATATGTAATTTAAGATGTTCTAGTAGCCCTATTTAAAAAGTGAAAAGAAACAGATGAAATTCATTTTAAAAACCGGGCTTGGTGGCTCAGCCTGTAATCTTGCGCCTTGGGAGGTTGAGGTGATGGATTGCCTGAGTCCATGAGTTCGAGACCCGCCCGGGCAACTTGACAAGACCTCATCTCTACAATAAATCAAAAAAAATTAGCCGGGTGTGGTAGTGTGCACCTGTCGTTCCAGCTCCTTGGAAGGCTGAGGCGGAAGGATTGTCGGAACTCGGCAGGTTGAGGCCGTGGTGGCTGGGAGCGGCTACTGCACTCCAGTCTGGGCGACAGAGTGAGACTCCAACTCAAAAAACAGAAAGTGGAAAAAAAAAAGAAATTAATTTTAAAGATATAGTTTATTTGATACCTAGTGTATCCAAAATATTATCATTTTATCAATGAATTGATTTTAAAGAATTTTTAATGAAATATTTTATATCTCTCATTTCATATTAAGTGTTTAAAATCTGTTGTGTATTTTACACGTGCAGAACAATTCAATTTAGATTTGTCACATTTCAAGTGCTCAGTTGCTACATCTAGCTGGTAGCTTATTATATTGGGCAATGCAGATATAAGAACTTTCTAGAACCTCATGCATTCTTTCCCTAGGTCTGTAGTTTAAGAAGAAAATAATGTAGAATATTTAGAACCCCCTAACAGGTTTAAAAAAATCTTATTAAACACTTTACATGAATTTTAAAGAAACCTTTTAAACACAGCCCTGACCATCTTCCTCAATCTTTAATATTTTGCTCTATGAATCCAGAATATGATGAGTCAGATTTTATAGATCTGACCACTGTCAAATGGAATTACAAATGAAGATAAACAGATATATTCCTATACTCACAGTGATATGTTTTCTTTAAAGACAGCATACATGATCAAATTTTTGAATTATGTATTTTGATTAAGCACTAAAGTATGACAAGAGACAATTTTTTATGAGCACATTAGTGAAACGGAAAGTGAAATAGGTCTTGTGCAGTTTCCTGTTTTTGTAGTTCAGAAAGTTCATGTTGATTTCTTAGTGATTTCAACATTCAGTCCTCTGCTGTTGTCAGATACCTAAATATTTTCATTTTCTTTTTTCTTTTTTTTTTTTGAGAAAGCTGGATTTATTGAGAGGACAGAAAAGTTCCCACAGTGGGAGGGGACCCGAAGGGGTTTCCTGTATTTTCACAACAGATTTTAAACACTTACAAATGTCATTGCTAGGAGTAGTCAGATAATTTATGCCATATCTCATTTGATGTAATTGACTTACGATTTTGTCTTTCTCTTAATGTGTATCACGTGGTGGCATGCAGTAGCCTGATAGATTGCAAAAGGACTCCCCCTCATCTTGCAGTCGTGGCCAAGGGAGGTCTGTCTAGTTCTTGCCCTCCACAGTCTTCCCAGTTCCATCCTTCGGACAGGTAGAGGAGTGATTTGTATTAAATAATGAAAATTTTGATTTAACACTTACAAGTCCATTTTGCCATTAACCAAATTACTTATAAAAAAATACCTACAGATTATGTGATGTGAAAATTTTGATTTAACACTTACAAATTTATTTCACTAACTTATGAAGAAAATACATATAGATTATTATTTTCCTTTCATTTTAAGCATTTGTGGATTATATTAGATTTTTTAAGTCTTAAATTTGACTCTGAAAAATACTGTTAAGCATATAATTTTACCAAATTCTGTGGAGTGCTTTGAAAAACAGAATAATGAAAGCTAGATTGGGAATATGATATTTTGTTTTGTGTCTGGGGTTTTTTAGCAAATAAGTTTACAAGATATTTTTGGGATGCTACTTTAGTGTAAGTCCTTCATTATAAGTATTTAAAGTTTATTAAGCCATCTGAATAGTGGATTTAGACATTTCCCAAACCATTTCTAGAACAGAATTTTGGAGAACAGTGTGAGATGGATCCTAGGTTTAAGATCATGGGTTTATGTTTTCATTTGATGCAATTGTCTTAGATTTCTGTCACCATTCCCTCAATTTTGACCTACCTGCTTTGTGGACTTACATGATCATGATTTACTTTATAAACCTTAGCAAATGAGGCTGTGATTAACTTGTGTATGGAAAACTTTTTGTATTTTTTATTAAGGAACCAAACCTCAGATGTACTTCATCCAGAGGGTACATGTGCAGAAGAAAGTTCATTTTAAGATGAGGAAAACAAAGCTGTAAACACTTACAGCTAATTTGCCCTATGGGGGCTGGCAGAAATACTGAAAACTATAAGGCAAATATCTTGCTTATGAAGATGAGTTAGTGACCTTTTAAGCTTACTTTTTTGAACAACCCTTGATCTAAAGGCTAATATTTGATAATGGGGCATTTTGGAACTCTGTTTCTGATAAGTTCCACTCAGCATTAGGGCACCATTTCCAGGTCATCTTCAGTCCATCGTAATTCCCTCAGTGACCAAGGGCAGAAGTGCCTAAGTATTTGTGTGCAGAATCCTTTCCAGAAGGGCTGCCGTGGCCCAGGTGGGCAACATTTATCGTAGTGGCATATTTAATGTGAGAGAGGGGCTTAGCTTTTGACTTTCTCCCAGGGCTCAGTTCTTCAGAATCCCTGTGACTTGGGGCTCTCATGAAAGGACCAGAAGATTGGGAACCCTGGAGTTGGGAGGTGCTGCAGGAGAACCTTCATATTCCTCCAGATCGGAGGTCAGCATACCACAGCCCATCGGCTAAGTCTGGTCCACCATCTGCTTTTGAAAGGTTTTCCTGGAGCACATCCAGTTCTGTGTATTGGCTGTGACTGTTTTCCTGTTCCCTCAGCATCAAGTAGCTGTGAGGTCACATAACCCATAAAGTCCAAGATATTTGCCACTGGGACCTTTACAGAAAGGGTTTGCCAACCTCTGCTCCAGAACAAGCTCTGCATAAAAGGCTTTATTTAATTCAGTGGCAGTGGGTAAGACAATTTGTTGTTCCAAAGAACTTGTTACAAAATATAAGCTATATCTTATCTGAGAAAATGTGATGGCATGAGCCAAGTGCTTTGTGGTATGAGTACCTACCGTCGAGGGTAGGAAGCCAGATGTGATGGACCTTTTCTGTGATGACTGTGGAGAAAGGATTCAAACCACAGTTCTTTACAAAGGCCCCCTCATTGGAAGCCACAGCACATCCTTTTTCCATCACGCTGATTCTGAACCTGTGCTTGTGGGTGCTTCAGTGCTGGAAAAGTGTTGCCCCTTTGAAGAAGAAAAGTCCTAACTGCAGAACTAGAAGGAACAAGCGAGGTTGAAAGGCAATGAGGCATCCCCACACAGTATCCCTTCTCAGGGGACTGCTTCCTAAAGGGCAGAAAAATGTGTGTGTGTCTGTGTGTGTATGTTGGGAGCGAGGTGTCCCATTGTGTGAACTTGTACAGTGTGATGTCTCAGGAGCCTCCTCTCCCCAGATAGGCATGTTCTGAGATGGACTGTGGTCAGTGGGTACCACGGGAGAAGGGACCCGCCTGTATGTACCTCAGTGTGAAATGGAAAGACGGTGCTTAAGTCTGTTTGTCCCACATGGCTTGGCTAAAGGGATTCAGGATCAGGTTAGCCAATAAGGAAGGGTACCTGTTTGTTGGATACAAGTCATGTATCATCCTAGGCTCACCTTGTACTGACAGGAAAGTCATTCACTTGAAGTTGAAATCCAACTCCAACAGATAAATGAGACCAAGTGCATCAGTGAGGCCTCTGAAGAGAACAGATAAGGTTTGTGAAAGGAGATGAAAAGGGAAACTGTGATAGCTTTACTTCCTGCTTTGTTAGAAAACTCTGCCATCTTTCTCTAGTGGAAATGATGGAGAATAAAGATGATCATTAAATATGTTATTGCAATGTAATAAATCGTTGCCAAAACTCTTGTTATCAAGAATTAATATTTCTATATGCTGTTTAGAATACTGTGAAAATCCTGTGGATAAATTGCTTACTTTTGGGTGGTTATTTTTGGTGGTCAGAAGTAAGATTTTGTTTAGGTCTTAAGAGTAAAAATATAGAAAACGTGGAGGTGAGAGAGCATGTTACAGCTACTTAGAAGCTGGTTTGAGAATTAAACACCATGACACCTTGTTACAGAATGAGCCTTAGCCAACTGGAAGATATAATAATCTTATAGAATCTCAACTTGGAGGCCCCTGCCCCATTATCGAGTTTATTGTGGCATCTGGCTTTTGTGGTAAAATGGGCACATGATACAATTTCCTTGTTTTGCAAGGCCAGTGCAGATGGTATAAATACTTTAAGTATAGAATATAAAGAATGGGTGCGTGTCAGAGCCGGCCAGCACCCTTTTGCAGCCATCTGAGAGTTGAGACACTTGTGCACTTACTTGTTTGAAAATTGAGAATTTAGGAGAGGTGTGCTCAGGGTGAGGTGGGAAAGATGGTGGTTTCGAGGTAAGAACAAACTGTCTTTCCTTTCTATTTCCCTCCCTCTCTCCTTCTCTTTCTCACTCTCCCTCTTTTATATTTCTTTTCTGGGTGGCTTCTTTTTCTCATCTTCTCTAGTTTAGATTTGGCCGCTGGTTGGGGCGGGTTACCCAGATGGGGAGCGCCTTCCTCCCGGGTGTGTGCTGCAGGGCCCCCTGGTGGCCAAAGGAGGGATATGTCATGAAGCCTGCTCCTAAGGGAACGACAGCTTGGGTGCATTTTCTGAGCCGCGGATTGGGGCCAAAGACATTTTAAAACATCTCTTTTCTCACAGTAACCATGGCTTTTTGTTTCCTTAAGTCCTTCAGGTTCCCGACCTTCAACACCTAAGAGTGATTCAGAATTGGTCAGTAAGTCCACGGACAGGACAGCACAGAAGAATAACCTTGAAATGCTCTGGCTTTGGGGAGAATTGCCACAAGCTGCTAAGGTGAGCCTTTTGTCTCAATTCTGTCATATAGTGAAGGTTTCTAACTTGTCTTGAATTCCATGGAATCAGTGTCATTCCATAGCCAAGAAGCAACTACCAGGAACCAGAGGTAAATGAAAATGTGTTAAGGGGTACCCTTCAACCCCAGAATTGCTTTCTTCTGCATTCCCAACATTGTAAGGAGGTCTCACTGCATTTATGTGTTTTAAATGCACAGGACTACTCTTAGTATCTACATTTTCTATCACAACTAAATGCAAATTAAATTTTAAAAATACAACGTAGACACAAATCCCATCTTGAAGCTGTAAACAAAAATACCTGCTGGCTCTTACTTCTGGAGAGAAGTCACAGGGAGAGAGACTTGGGAGCTGCCTGGTGAAAGAAAGGCTGAGTGAGCCGTAAAAGCTGGGATCCATGTGTTCTTTTGTCTGTCACAGAGGAAGAAGAGGGAAAGGGTACTAGAGCAGAAATAAAAGACTTGGACCTGATAGATCAACAAAGTCAGGCAATCTTATGGTTGGACCCTCACTGTTGGTGGGACCCTGAATTTGACCCCATGGGGATTTCCAGAAGAAATAGAGAAGTAGCAAGCAGCGGAGTGTAGTGGAGAGAATGAGAGCATAGTCTCTCTTGGGTTAGGATCACCACTCCACCACTTGCTAGCAACTTGACCTTGGGCAAATTAATGGGCTTTCTTGAACCTCGATGTCTTCATCTATACAATGTAAGCAAGCAGTAGATACTGCTCAGAGTTGTTGGGAGGTTCAAAGAGATAATGTGTATCTGGCACATTTAAGCCTTTGGAATATTTACTTGCTTTCTCTCTGGCTGTGCCACGTACAGAGTCTTAATTTCCCTGTCTTTGAAAGGCAGTGAGTTCACATGCAAGTACATAATCAGTACAGCAGATAGGTTTCTAAAAGCATGAAATAGACATGATCTTTTAAGACATTTTATTTCATATTCTAATACTTTACAAACATTTCAAATTTTTTTTATTGCTAGCTTTTTGTTAATATTGTAAGGTCCTTAGAAGATGCTACAGCCTCTTATATTTTCTATACATGTTTGTAAGATGAATGAGTGAGTGAATGAACGAGTGACTGAAGATTGAGAGCATTCCTGTGAAGTTTAAGATGGGCAGCTTTTTGGAGAGTAGGACTGTTGACGCGGAAGTTGTAGATCCATTTTCTTTCTATGCTATATTTAGCTTTTATGGAAAAATGCTGATTTTTCTGTTCATTGCTCCAGTGCTGACCCAGCCAACTATCTTTACAAATTCATGTTATTAGTTGCTGGAGAAACAGCATAAAAGTGCAAACTCATCACTTCTTCTGGCAAAACAGTTATAATCACAGATCTACTGTAACATTATTTTCACTTATGATAGAAGCTGTGAGGTCAGATAGAGAAATGGATATCTTTCCCCTCTTTTTAGCCCATAAATTGCATTTTGGTTGGGATAAATCTTTTCTGTAACTGGAAACCCCTCTGGGGGTCGAGTCAGAAATGCTAATTTCTCGCTCATATGAACCAATCGCCAGCCAATCTTTCCTCATTCATTTGTAAGTATATTTTTTTTAGATTAAAAAATATAGTTTATTTAGAAAGTAAATTGGAGAGAGAGAAAAAGAGGAGATTCACCTCCCCAAAGTAGGGGAAGGGGCCAAAGCGTAAGAAGACATGGCCTGACCATAGCTCAAAGAGCACATGGCCAAACCACAGCTTAGCAAGGCAATGACCCACTTGTATTTTGAGAATAAACTTTGTTTTGCAAGATTCATGTGTGTTGTGTAGCTATAATTCGTTTTGTCTTGTGGCCACAGAGAGTCCCAGCATGTAGTAGACTCCCTAAACTATCCATGGACATTTGGGTTGTTTCTGCTTGTTGGCCTTACTAATCTTGCTTACTTCTGTTTGGTATTTGATGTTTTATATGAAGGGTCACTTGTTTTGAGTTCATATTCTTGATTTCCAGTCTTTTTGGAAATCACCAGGATAATTCTTAAGGTTTAAGAATCACTACCTGCTTTTGACTACCTGTTCCCCTTTGGTAACTTGGTTGTCTGTTTGTCTGTGCTCTAACCTCTCTTTCTCTCTCCCCTCTTTTGTCTAGTCATCTTCTCCACACAAGATGAAAGATTCCAGCCCACTGAGCAGTAGAAAAATTTGTGACAAAAGTCACTTTCAGGCCATTCACAGCGAATCTTCAGACACTTTCAGTGACCAATCGCCCACCTTGGCTGGGGAGCCGCTTTTAGACCAGAACAAACCTCAGACAGAAATGCAGTTCGTGAATGAAGAAGACCTCGAGTCCTTGGGGGCAGCAGCACCGCTTCCACCTGTTGCCGAGGAGCTCAAACTCCGCTCTGCCAGTGTAGTCCAGACAGCCAGCAAAACGGATTCTCCTTCCAGGAAAAAAGGTACAAAGGCAGGGGCTGCCTGACTCTCTTCCTGTTCAGACTTTGCACTCACTCTGCAAATGACAGGTCCTTCTTTCTAGGGTTCTGAGATAAACAGGGTAGAAGTAGAGCCCTCACCATGACCAGGTTTAATTGCTGCTCTTTTGCTGAATATATTATCAGAATGTAGTCACAGAAAATCAGATGTAGAAAATCAGTCAAGAGGGCCTTGGGGATCATGTCATGAACCCCCTCATTTTTCAGGCTGGGGATACTGAGGTCTAGGGGAGTTAAGTCCTTTTTGGCACACCATGGCACCCTATAAATGTGACTTCTAGAAAGTTGATTATTAGGCTAATCTTGGCCAACTCTACCCTTGCTCCCAAGCCCATTACCCTGTTTTAATTTCTGCATACCATTTCTCACTATTTCAAATTATTATTATTTTTGTCTTTACTCCTCCTACTAGGATATATGCCCTCTGAGATCAAGAATCTTTTCTGTCTGGTTTACCCATTTATCCTCAGTGCATAGAATAGGGGCTGGCACACAGTAGGTACTCTGTGAGTGTTAGTTTAATGCCCACCTGGCTGTACATCGTGGCAGTGTCAGGCCTGATCTCTGTTAGCCAGGCAGACTTAAGCAGTTTTTTTTAGCTTCATATGAACCAGCAACATCATTCTCTGCCAAAAGTAAAGAAGATGTTTGAGATCATGTTGTTCAGTATCTGACTGCACGGTTTAGGATACTGGACCATGGAGTATTGACAGGGAAGTGCCTAAGGAAAACTTTTATTTTATTTTATTTTATATTTATTTATTTTTTTTTTGTGAGTTGGAGTCTCACTCTGTCACCCAGACTGGGGTGCAGTGGCCGCTCCCGGCCACTGCAGCCTCAACCTACTGGGCTCTGGCGATCTTTCCGCCTCAGACTTCCAAGTAGCTGGAACTACAGGCGCGCGCTACCATGCCTGGCTAATTTTTGATTTATTGTAGAGATGAGGTCTCACCAAGTTGCCCAGGCGGGTCTAGGAAAACTATCATTTAATAATGATAAGTGTAATCATAGCAGTAATAGCCTCAATGCATAGAATGCTTAGTACTCTTCAGGCACTTTGCAGATGAGGAACCGAGACCGGCAAAATTATGGAACTTGATCTAGGCTACAGAGTGACCAGTGACAGAGCCTGTACGCTGGGCAGTCTGACTCTGTACGCTCTGTGGCCACTTCTCACCGTTGTGGTTCTGGGGCCAGTTGAATACTTGGCATCAACTTTGCACGTTGTATTTAAAGACCGTCTCTACAGATACAAGTCCACAAGGCTGTTTCTAGAAGAGTGGTTTTCTGACTTGACCTGTCTACTCTTTTAGATAAACGAAGCAGACATCTTGGTGCTGACGGCGTCTACTTGGATGACCTCACAGATATGGATCCTGAAGTGGCAGCCCTGTATTTTCCCAAAAAGTAAAAATTCTTGTAGTTCTTCATATGTTTTCTATGATCGGAATATTAATCTGTGTGAGCCTTGTTTCCCTTATGATTGGTTAGAAAGTGCAAGAAAAAGACAGCGAGAAGCTCACATTTTACTGTGGAAAGCCGGTGCCCCCTCTGGGCAGGAGTGCAGGCTCGAGTCTGCCTCCCCCAGTAGAGTCTGTGGTTCTGTCACAGCCGTTGGTGGCTCACAACTCAAACAAGTGGCAGCTGCACAGCCCTTTTCCCTCCCCAGTTAAGTCTCCTGTGGTTTTGAGGGGACCCATCTTCAGGTCCCTGTGATCCAAGGGAGGGCTAGCACCTTGGGGGGTAATAGCAGGCCTCTTGGGCCAGCTTGCTTCCTATTGAGTTTATTTCACATGGCTTTGGGCGAAGATACAAGGAGAAACAGCAGGACTAAAAAAAATTGTTTTCTTTCCTAAGGTAAGTCATTTAACATCTTCCTGTTTGTCATGGTGCTTTCGTGAAACATCTGTCCTGAGAGGAAATCTGCTGTGAGGGCTGGCAGCAGGCCAGAGGGTCATTTGATGGCTATGTGGAATGACCCAAGAGTGGGAGTGTCCTCTACACATCTTCCATTTTCTCTCCTTCCAGCGGAGATCCTTCTGGACTTGCCAAACACACCAGCGACAACGGAGCCCGGTCAGCCAACCAGTCCCCACAGTCCGTGGGTAGCTCCGGTATTGACAGTGGTGTGGAGAGTACCTCGGATGGCCTGAGAGACCTCCCTTCCATTGCTATCTCCCTCTGCGGGGGCCTCAGCGACAACAGGGAGATAACAAAAGGTACTGCGGCCTTCACGCCGGGCGCGCCCTCTGGTGGCGGCTGGTCAGAAGGCCCAGAGGCTTAAGCTTCTGGAACAGGTTCATGTCAACGCAGCTTCTCACTCGGTTGTGGTGAACGACAGCACAAATGACTCATTGAGCTCGTGACCCAGATGTTTCTGGCTTGTAGTTAGCTGACCTCGGGGTTCTGTTGGGCACGCATGGCTTCAGGCAGTGACAAGGGCGTTGGGGCCGCTGATGTGTGTCTCCTGCGGCCCTAGCCAGTGCTGCAGAGATGACCTGTGGAAGCCTGCTGCCTGTGGGAATGTCTTATTAAAACAGAGAGCGTTGGAAGTGTGAGAGAAATACTCTGGGTCTTGGAGGAGGGAGGGGTCTCAGTTTGTCTGAGGAAGTGCGGGAGTGCATCCCAGCTGGACTTAAAGGGTGCCATGAGGGTGGGCATAGGTGATTAACTCATAGCATCTGCCACATTCATAGTGATGATTTCCAGTGTCTCCTGACAGTTCTGTGGCAAGGTGCTCCCTAGCCCCCCAGATGCTACATTCAGCCGACATCAGCTGATGACCTCTTGTTCTAGACCCAGATGTCCTGCTCCCCTCCCCCACCCTCCCACCCACTTCCTCTTTTCCATCCTCCCGTGGTATTTCTAGCAGGGAATGGGGCTGAGGTCATGCACTTCTCCCCACTACTGCTTAGGGGCCATCACCATTTTTCCTTTCCTCCCAGGCTGCCACCCTAGACTCCTGTCTCTACCATGAGGCCCCTTCCAGGTGTTGTGAACATCTTCTCCCACAAAGACTGGGAACTCTATTCTGGTGCCTGTATCAGTCAGTCCTTCACCTCAATGATGAGCTGGAACAAGGATCCGGCTGGTTCTGTTTATTTCATCCAGTCTTCCCAAGACCACCCATCTATTACCCAGACCTGCCATGTTTCTGAGGTTGTGAAGAAGTGAGCATGCTCTCTGGACAGTTAGAGGCAGGGGATGGCCAGTGTCCCATTGGTGTCTCCTCCCCATGCACTTGCAGCTGGTAGATGTGGGGGTGGCCTGCAGGGCAGCTAGGTACCCATGCACTGGTGAGACCCGGTGCCGTTATCTGAGTGTCATCTCTTGGGTTGGGACCTATAAGTATCTCGTTTGCATAGGTGAGGCCAGATTCTCATGGCTAGGCACTCCTGAGGAGGGAATTACAGGTCTAAATTAGGATTCTGAGGGTACGTGTTGAGGCCAGTCTGGGTTGGCATCATAACCAAGGAACTTTTTCCCTGGATAGGGGTGATTCCAGTGTCTCATGTCTGCTGGGTCTTGGTTCCACATTCAGGGTACATAGGACACCCCCCAAGAAAGGAGAGCCCCACTTAAGGCTGAAGGTGTGGCCCAACTGAAGCAGGATAGCTGAGCAGAAGCCAGGGCCTTGGGCCTTAGGCCAGAGCCTGTCCAAATTAGGGTCCAGGGATGTGGTCCTGACTCTGCCACCTTCTCATCTTCTCTGATCCTGGCAGGGCTACTTCCTCACGAGGCTGGTCACAGTCAGCACTCGGGCCTCACACCATCCTCACACATCCTGCAGGTGGAAGTTATTAGTATCACAACTGCTAATGTTCCATGAACCCTGACTTTTGGAAGGGCATGGTGCTTCACTTACCTGAGATCACACCAATAAATGTCACTTAAATGGAGGTAGCCATAACCATTACTCTGCCTCCACAGATGTTCATGCCTGCTCTGTTTTCCATCCCCTAACCCCCCGCGTGGATGTATATGCCTTAAATAAGGGTATACTTTCCCTCGCTTCCTTGAACTCAGCCCCTGCCTTCCTTCACTGCCCCTCAAACAAAAGGAAGCTCCCTTTACAAATGCATTTTCTAGGCTTCCTGCACAATTGGGAAGCGTAAACACCCAGAAAACACTTGTGAATGAGTGAATGAAAAAAGACCTATTGTTGAACCAGATTTCCTTTATATTCTTCTTTTACCCACTATGATTCCTGTCACAGATGTGTTTTTGGAACAAGCCGTGTCATATCAACAATTTGTGGACAACCCTGCCATTATTGATGACCCCAATCTCGTGGTAAAGATTGGGAATAAGTAAGTACCTCTAGAAAGTCATTGTTTCAGTATTAGTTTTCCAAACATAGAGATCTAGACATTAAACCTTAAATGCATAAAATGAAACCTCTGCTAAACTTCATTATTAATATCTTCACTACTGGCAAAATTCTGTGCCAATAAGCTGGCAGGTTGGTGAACAGGTTGGGTAATGGTCTTGCAGGTTTTGATATCTGTCTGTAATAGATTTTATAACTGAATGTGTAAAGTCATGGTACTTGGTCTGTGAGTCTTAGACCCAATGTCGTCTGTGTACATAACAGAGTAGCCCACATTTCCACCCTCTTAAAAATTTCATTATCTGGGGCCAAGGGATGTGCAGGTGTTTCTGTAGACTGCTAGCCAGCTTTTCTCCCCAAGCGGAAGCTGTGGATGTTTTATATGTTAATTTAGGTTTCCTAGTTGCCTTTCCTTGAAACGTGGCAGGAAATGCCACAGGCAGGTTGTAGATTCATGCAGCAACTGTGCAGTGGAATTCTGGCTGCGTCCAGCTAGCAGCCAGGGTCTCCCAGTGTGTCCAGGTGTCCGTCCTATTGACACAACTGCTGCTGGGCCCTTCACTGTGGCCACTGGGTTTGGGTGGAGGAGGGGAGCCCCTGCATGGGTGGGAGATGTGGGGGGGCTGGGGGTTAGCAACTGTTTTGAGCTCTTTACGGACCTCACTGGACTTCAGGAGCTTTCCAGGACTGCCACTCATGATGTCAGAAAGATTTTCAGTCTGAGCCTTGGTCTTTTGACATTGATTTCATTGTTTCATGTAGATATTATAATTGGACAACAGCAGCACCTCTACTCCTGGCAATGCAGGCCTTCCAGAAACCTTTGCCAAAGGTGAGATTTAACATGAGAAAGAAATGGACACTAAGATGATGGAGAGGTTAATCTGGGTGATTGGAATTTAACTTTTATTTTAGAAGTCACAAAGTTAATTGCATTATGCTTTTTTGAAGTTCATGAACATGCATGTTAGGAGTTTCTGATCTTTCCCTCTTGCACCTTGAATGCTCTTCCCCCTCTTTATTATCAAAGCAAAACCTCCTATTTGTGGCAGTGCAGGCCAAGGATCTCTTTCTTATCACCTGCGCTAGGGACACAGGTGAGACAGAGCCGGTGGGTGTCAGGATGTCAGTCAGAGCCACAGGAGGACAAAGAGAGGAGTGTTGCCGTCCAAGGGTTGGAGCAGGCACTGAGGTTGGGTGCAGAGAGGCAGCTCAGCAGACCCCAGGTGCCAGCACTAGCCCCTGACATTGCTCAGCTGGGAAGCCAGCCTATGCCTGACCCTCTGAGGCAGGAGCCAGTACATGGCCTGGGCGGTTCATCATCTGCAGGGGAGCATGGGTCAGTGGCTGCGAGGAAGAGTTAGCAGGGCAGGTACGCCACCTGGCAGTGTTCTCATCTTCTCCCAAACAATTCCCTGGACACTGAACCAGGAATTGTTAGTTTTTTCAGTATTATATCTTCCTTCCAGATAGGTCCTTTCTGCTGTGGAGACCCTGTCATAGACTGGTTTGTGTTCTTTGTACACTTAGCAAGTACTTTGTACTGTTTAAGATGTTGTAGCTGGTGAGACAGTTCTGATATCTGAGATTCTGACTTGTTGGTTCTATGCTTATTTCTTCATGGTTGTGGTGTGTGTGTGTGTGTGTGTGTGTGTGTGTGTGTGTGTGTATGTGTGTGTGTGTGTCTGTGTGTGTGTGTGTGTGTTGTGATTTGGGGATCGTTACTTCATCTTTGGTGGTGTTTTCTCTGTGAGTATTCTTTGTGGATTGGGCTGAGGGCATATTCTTCAGAGTAGTTTTCATTTTGTCCCTGCTGTGGTATCTATGGCATAAGACAAATTTTTATGTTACATTTACAAATTAATAAGAAAAAAGTCCAGTGTAATAGCAATATAATTAAAGGATTTATTCACAGAAAAAGAAATACACATGTCTCTGAAACTAAAAAAGTTGGTTCTTGTAATATGCGTGCTAATTCTTTGTACAGATCTAGTCAGGAATTTTTGATTCAATTTATGGCATTTCTCTAATATAGAAATTATTTTATTTGTCAGTCTTATCTTTTATGGCTGTTAGGTTTAATATCACACTTTAAATGGCCCTGCCTCCCCATTTTCAAAACTTGTATTTTCTTCTCTGGCTTTAGTTTATATCTTTGATCCATCTAGATTTTATTTTGAGAGTAATGAGGGAGATATCAGAAACCAAATCATTTCCCCCCCCTAGCTAGCTATTGGATTAGTTAATATGCTTTTGGTTTTAGGAAACAGATGACAAAAAGTGGCTTAAATGGAATGGACCTATTATCTCATATAAGCATCAGAGGTTGGTAGTTTCAGGCTTGATTCATTTGGGTTGCTTCTCTGATTTTCTTTGCTTTTCCTTTGTGGTCATAAGATGACTTTTCTGCACATCATTTCTTCATACAACCACATCCAAAGTAGGAAGAGTGGGGACAAATTTCTCATATTTCATTGGCCAAAACTTGGTCACATGAATCACCTGTAAACTAGTCGTTGGCAAAACAATGGAGTGATTGAATGCCTTAGACCATTAAGATCCATCCACTGGAGTTGAGCCTGCCTTTCTTGGACATATTGCAGCCTGATTCTTGAACAGAGTTCAAGGTGGGCACCTAACAGGGTCTGACTTAGCTACTTAATTATTCTAATACCATTGTTAAATAACCCTTTCCCCCACTGATAGACTGTTACAACTTGATCCTCTGTGAAATTTATCTATGAATTTAGTTATTTCTGGACTTTTGTCTTCTGTCTGTGCAATGTTTATTCATGTACCAACACTGTATTCTTTAATTACAGTAGCTTTTAAATATCTTTTAAATATATGTTAATACTTAGTAGAGCTGTGTCTACTCACTACTCTTCTGACTGCTAATTTTCTTTACTATTTTTGTTGTTTTCAAGTGAACTTTAGGGAATCATTTTATGTAGGTCTGAAAATAATCCTGCTTAATTTTTTTCTTTCATCTTTTTCCTCTCTCCCTCTTTTTTTTGTTTAAATTGGGGTTTTGTTCTATTTATGAGTAGATTTAGGGGAAATAGGGTAATTGACATCTTTGTGAATTGTCCTAATCATGAACAATTTATGAGTGGCTTACATCTTAGTGCACTCAGGTTTTCTTTTGTGTCAGATGGGCATTTTTAAAGCTAATTAGTAAATTGCTTATCTGTCCACTTACCCATACCCTGTTAAGTTGAAGGACTTAAATCTTTCATTACAAGCTGAGGTGTCAGCAACTTGGAAGTTCTATAAATTGAGGAAGGGACTGTAGATAACATTTACCTTGGTCCTGGAATTAACCTCAAGATCAATATTTGGTTATTTAAAATACTTAGAAAATTATTAATTTATACTTAATCTCCCCCATCAAAGTTCATATTTCCAGGTATAAGTATAAACTTTCTTTTTCATATGTGAGATTTCATATCATTTCTTTTTAATACTTGAGATTTCAAATCAAATGTATCTATTAATTTTGAAATTTGGAAATTTATTTTCATTAAAAATCCTGTGCATTTATCTTTTGTTGAAAACTGTTTTATTCTATACCCCTTATTAATCATTTCATATTTTATTTTATAATCATCATATTTGAGGGTAACAATATTTTAACAGTTAGCCACTTTAATTTGAAAACTCTGGTCTTACTAATCACTAATGATTTTTAATGCTTTCTTTTTTGTTGTTGTTGTGTTGTATTTTATTTGTTATTTGTTTTTTCCTTTAACATCTTCTTAAGTCTTCATGCTTAAGTTACCTTAATGTAATTTTGGACGCCATTAGGTTTTGCTTCTCTAAAATTTTTAATCCACAAATAGTATGTTGTGTTTTCTCCAGTTTTTTTTTTTTAATCTTTCTTTAATTTGCATGTATGTTTCTTTTGGTTTGGATGTGCTAAGTTGATCTTTTTTTGGTTCCATTATTTATGTTACCATCCATTTAAAACAGGCCACTGTGGAATCTATCATGAGGGATAAGATGCCCAAAAAGGGAGGAAGATGGTGGTTTTCATGGAGGGGAAGAAACACCACAATCAAGGAGGTAAGCGCAGAACACAAGATGGCATTTACACTTAGCACATTTTGGTTTTGTTTGTTTGTGACGTTTGTTTTCCATGCACTTGTATCAGAGGAAAGAGCATGAGTCATAATACTGAGTTTTCATGAGCCAGCTCTGCAGCAAGGCTGGCGACCTGCATGGAATTTGAGGGGCTGGAGAGGAGGATAAGGAGGGAGCAGTGTGGGGTTCACCTCCTGGCTTGCCACCTGGTAGTCAGGAGACCGTGGTCAAGTCCCTCCTCTTCTGTAACACTTCTTCATCTCTAAAAAGAAAGAATACAACCTGGTAATTACAAGTTTTTTTTTAAAAAAGGTGTCTTCCTTCTGTGTGTGAGGATAGTTTTAAGGAGGAACACTTACAGCAGTAGTCATTAGTCATTAGTCATTTCACAGAAATGGCACATCTAAAGATACCTGGCTTTGGTTTCTACCTCTGTAAATGCCTGGTGTTGTTTTCAGGTCTTTGCCGACTCTCAGCCTACTTCCTGAAGCACTATCTTTGCTTGGCTTCCATGCCACCATGTTCACCTGGCTTTCTGCCTCCCTCTCTGGCTGCTCCTCTGACGTTAACTCTCTCCATGCAGGGGTCTTCAAGGGTTGACTGGGGTCTTTTCTTCTGCTTTTACTCCTTCCTTTCCCCCTTTGCCCATGTTATGACTTCATTTTTTATTTTCGAACCAGACCTTTTTTCTATTCCATACCCATTGATCAAATAACTGACTGACTAGACATCTCCATGTGGATGCTTTAAGGCATTTCAAAGTCATCGTGCCTAAAATTGAACTCATGGTATTCTTGAGAGTTCTTCCTTCATTGGAATCACAGTTGGAAGATGGTGTCACTGTCCATTCATAGTTCACACCGAGTGCCGTCAGTTTTCCATCTGAAATATTTCTCAGATTTGTCCATTTCTCTCCAGTTCCACCCCTCCAAATCTAAGCTATCATTATCTCTCTCAGAGTTTCTTCCAAAGGATCCATTTGTTACCCGTTCTTGCCCTTTCTTCTTCAATCTCCATGTTGTTGTTGGTTTGGTCTCTTTAGGGTACTGGACCAGTGTATATTGGCCTTAGTGTGATTTTCCAGGGCTCTTCTAATGAAGACCAGTGTCCTTAACATGGTCTACAGCACTTATGTGATCTAGTCCATCTGTCTCTCAGCTTCATTTTGGCCATTCTTCCCTGCCTTCTGTGGTTTAGCTTCATGGCTGAAAGTACATTCTATCCCAGGGCCTTTGCACATGTTATTTTTGTTGCCTAGTATTCTTAGACTTTCTACTTCGTTTAGTTAACTAGCTGTGCAAGTAGCTCTTTCTCCACAGATTAGTCTGGTCTACTTTGTCTGTGCCTGTGAACTTTTCCTTAATAAGTTTTGTCAGAGTTTATAATTATATATTTATTAATGAGACTATTTGATTAACATCTCTTTTCACTTCCAGGCCCTAATCTCCATGAAGGCAGAGGTCATATGTAGCTTTGACTCGATTGCTTTCTGATACCCATATTAAATCCAGAGTAGGGGGTTGGCAAATATTTGTTGAGGGAACAATGATTACTTTTGGAATGCAGTATGAAGAAACCACAAAGGACAAGAGTCAAGCTGGTTATTTTAATAGTAAAAGAAACCCCAGTGAGTTCTCTTTATTCCATTAGTTCAAAGGGAAAAAGTTTGCTGGAAGAGTTTCATCAAGATAAAATTGTTCTTTGACATTTTCTGTTAGCATATCTGAGTTTTACTGATCAGTTTTACTGATCTCCAAGGGCTATAAACAAGTTAGAGAAAATATGTACACTTTACTTTAGAGAACTTAAAGAATAAAAGGTCTTTCTAGTTTTCTTTTCTTTTTTTTTTTTTTTGAGTTGGAGTCTCACTCTATCGCCCAGACCGGAGTGCAGTGGCTGCTCCCAGCCACCGCAGCCTTGACCTGCTGAGCTCCGTGATCCTTCCGCCTCAGCCTTCCAAGTAGCTGGAACTACAGGCATGCGCTACCACGCCCAGCTAATTTTTAAAATTTATTTATTGTACAGATGAGGTCTCACCAAGTTGCCCAGGCGGGTCTCAGACCCACGGGCTCAGGCAATTCACTCACCTCAGCCTCCCAAGGTGCAGGATTACAGGCTGAGCCACCGAGCCCAGCTTCTAGTTTTCTTACTAGAGAAACTTAAGGCATTTCAAACACCTCTTTGTAGAGTATCCACATTCTCACCAGTTTGAATTAAGGGTAATGCCAGTATAAAGTAAGGAACATTTATGAAATTAAATATTTCTTCTGAAATAAATATATTTCAGATAAGTACATATTTTTTGAACTAGCTTAATAAAAACATTGCGAATAGTGGTAGCTAAGTGACATGACTAAATAAATAGATTAAAAAGAACTGGTTCTATTTTCATATTAATTATTTGCGTGCTTATAAAAAACAAAAGAATATTTAAAACTAGTTTTTACTAATCATATGTTAAGACAGTCACCCTGTTATATTGTTTATATTGTTCATTTTCTTTATTGAAGTGGAAATCATTAACCTGTCCTGACCAAATGAATACACATAAAGAGATTCAATTGTATGCTCTCTGTCCCTTCACATTTTTGTCTGACCACTTCTGTTTTACCGTGAGTCCATGGACCAATGCCTGTTTCCCTCCCCCTCCCGGCCATGTACCAGGCTTTGTGTTTCAGACACAGCATCTCTTTTAATCCTCACAGCAGTGTTATGAAATGGAGGCTATCAGCCCTGTTTCACAGGTGAGGAAATGATGTTTTTTGAACTTACCCAAAGTTCATAAGTGAGAAAGTCAGGGCCAGGCCCAGGTGTTCTCTTAAAACTCCAGGGCTCTTTTCCATCTATCAAAGAAGCATTTCCTATTAAAAGTATGTGGTATTGGAAAAGAAAAAAATGCTTTCACATTTTCCCCAAGCAAAATATGGTGTGAAAATATTTTCAAGCATTTCTATCAGCAATTACAAGAAAATATTTTGAAAGCCCTCAGGAATCCATGCAGCCCTTGATAAAGCATTTGCATAAGCTCCAGCAATGATGAAGTTTGGTTTGGTGCCACAAACACTTAAGGATAACAGACTTATTTCTGTTAAAAATATTTCTCTGCTTAATTGTACATTTCCAAGCCAAGGAGTAGCCAGGACCTGCTGAAACAAACACGCCCAGAGCCTCCGGGGCCATCTCCGGGATGTGTGTCATGGAGAAGGGCCTGGCTACAGGGGTCCTGCCCTGGGCCCTAAGGGGGCCTGTGGGAGAACACCAGCTGTGTACAAGCTTTGGTGACTTCCATGACTCTTTTCTCCTTGTCCAGGAAAGTAAACCGGAGCAGTGCTTGCCTGGAAAGGGCCACAGTACCGGAGAGCAGCCGCCACAACTCAGTATGGCCACCAGGTACAACAGGAGTCTTCTTGGGACGTTGCAGCCTCTTTCTGTATCCAAGGTCAATGACACGTGCTGCCTGGGTGCTGATAGGGTTCACCATGCAGTTCCAGCTCTGGCGCTCTGATTCACTCAGTGACTTGGAGCCATTTACTTAACTTGGTTTTCTCATGAATAAAATAGATACAATTGCTCGCTTAGATAGCTGTTTTGCAAGGTAAATGTGGGCTTTAAAGAGGTAATATAACTAGAGCATTCTCATGGTCCTAGCATAGGATAGCCCTCCATATACAGAAGATAATGAGGAGGAGGAGGAGGAGGAGGAGGATGGTGGTGATAAAAAAACAACATTAACAATAACATGAAACTAAGTTTTCCTTCTGAAGGAACTTGCCTTTCTCTACAGTTTAAATATTTACCATGGCTTATGTTGATACTTTTCTGAATATCGGTATGGATTCATACTAACCTGGCATAGAGGAGGGTAGATTTTGATAATAATGGTTGGTATTTGTAGTGTTTTGTCTTCAGGTTAATTTCTTTGTATGAGATTAGAGGGTGTCTCTACCCTTCCCTGCTAATTATAAAGGTAATTTTACATATTGACATGGAGTGATGTGATCTGCACTATGACATCTTTTATATATTACCTCCTGTTTACAGTATTCCTGTGGTTAAGAAATCCAGAATTGCATTTCTTATTTGGCAGTCAGAAAATAGTCACAGAATAATTGAGGGCAAGATCCACATCATGATCATTTTTGTACCTTGAAGGCCAAGCCAACACCCGCCACAGAGTAGGCATTTCAGAAATGTTGCTGAACTATTACTAACTGATGAGTAATAAGTAAGTTGTTGATTTACAGGTGAGGCTGGCATAGATTTTGCTTTCTCTAGCTCCTGGCCATGGCTCTTTATCTTAAACTATTTTGTTAAAAGAATTCTTTGTTGGAAAAAGAAAGCCATGTATGTAGCAAATGGGAAACAATCTGATTTCTCTATTGTTCTCTATGGAGAAGAACAGGGTGGAGACTTGTGCACAAGACCTTGGTAGGATTTTTTTTGAATGTGACTCTAAGTGGACTAGTTTGCTCTCAGCTGGGGTGTTCTCTAAGGAAAAGCTTTCTGCTGTTCCTGGAGGCGTCCCAGGTAGTGCTCCTTCCTCCCCCAGCCCCTGCTGATCTGTGCTGTCCTGTGCACACAGTCTAGAAAGGTCAGGAAAGCCCCTTGCTGTGGAGCTGGGTGTTTCTGTTCTGTTCCTCACCCTCCATCTCTATCTCATACTCTGGGCTCTCAGGCATGATGACGTGGGTATTTTTCCAACTGGGAATTTTGAGTTTGGCTCTGAGTGGAAGAGAGAAGACAGGTGTGTTTAGGGTGGAGTCCAGGCTGAGAGTGTGCTGTCCTTTAAAGGGATCTGTAAAGCAGCCAGGAAAGAAGCCAGTAGTTTTTAAACAAGAGGTTACTTACTCCTATTAGCCAGAGGCAGCATACTGTAGTGGAAATAGCCGACTTTGGAGTCCTAGCTTTGCCACTTAGTAACCATTTGACCTCAGGCAAACTACTTAACTCATCTGAGCAAAGGTCCCATCACTGTGTAAACACTCAGACCAGGAGGTGGCTGTGCAGGAGATGCTGGACCCCAGAAAGGGCACATAAGCAAAGAGGCGAAACTGTGTGCTAAGCGATGTAAACCCATTTAAATTGCACCGGAAGCATCCTACTTTATGGAAATTCTTTTTACAAACCTTTGTCTTAGCAATAATTTCTAAACACAAGAGGTAGCACAGAGCAGGCTTTGAGAGCAGAGAGCTTGTCAGACAGCCTTCTGTGTGATCTTTGGCAAATTAATCCACCTCTCAGTGTTTCCATTTGTGAAATGGGGATAAAAGTAACACCAACATTGTAGACTCCATCGCATGTAATCCTCACTGCAACTTCATGAGCATGGTGATGCAGAATGCAAAAATCAATGGGGCCACACAGGAGATGTGTGCCTGCAGGCGGCCATAGGGAAACAGTTGGAGGATGACTCTGCGGTCACCTGGAGGACAGATGTTCAGTCCTAAACCGTGCAGTTTCAAATATTTTAAAATGTATTCTGTGGGCCAAATGCCGGATGTCTGATCTGTAACCATAATAGCCTTGTAATAGGTCTGTTTCCTGATGCACACAGCAAGTCAATATGCCGAAACACAGTTTTGCAACAAAGAAAAGTTTAGGATCACGGAACGGGCAGAAGGGGGGAACTTCAAATCTGTCTCCTGGAGGAATCTGGGGCTAGGGTTTTTTAGGGTTGTGAAGTGGGCTGAAGTGTGGAGAGTAATGCTTGGTTGAAGAGTACAGGGTGAAGTCGTGGACAGGGAGATGAAGAAGCTATATTATGTTGATGCCAGCCCAACCTGGTCCTCAAACTGGCTGCTGGAATTCAGGGCTTGAAAAACGTCTTCAGTGATTCTTAAACAAAAGCCTTATGATTCTAGTGTCTGTAGGAACAATGGACATGCAAGTAAATCTGTACACACTTATGACCCTAATGTCAGAAATTCCATCTATTGGAACAATGAGATGCAAATAGTCAGTATCTAGTGACTTTTAGCAACAAGGAAATGGGTCAAAGGGCAGTCTGATTAATGCTTAATTATAATGATATTTTGTCCAGAACCCAGCATGCAATTTCTGTCAGCCTTGTGGGGACAGATACAAATCCATCCTGCCATATGCCAGTCTTAGACCTGGGGAAGATGGACCTGGAAGTCAGAGAGTTGAGTTCACAAACGATGGAAGATGACAGCCACTGGTAGCAGGTTGGCACACATGGAGGATGGTGCCATCGCTGGTGATTCTTAATCTTCTCTAACCCTTCTAACTGTAGCAGGGAGGACCCGGGGAAGGTGGCCGCAGCAGCAAGATGCTTTTGCAGTTCTCCCCTGACTGGCCCTTTACTCAATTCCTGCAGTTACTTGAAATGTTACAGATTTTCTTAATGTCCAGTACAATCATATTCAAATGTTGACAAAAAATGTTTTTCCTGGTTAAATAGAAACAGTTGACAACTCACTGTTCTGAGTTATTTGTACTACATTTCTTTGTCAAACCTGAAAAATTAAGAATTGCCTCTTGTGAAAAGAAATTGAGATTTTTGAAAAGAATTAATATAAAGTTCTCTTGAGAAATGTAAATCTTTTAATTTACACTGGCGTCTCAGACTTTTAATTTCCTTATTAGACTCATGCAGTTGACTAAGAAAAAAAAAGTGCCAGAATGTTTTCCTAATTGACAGACTTGATTGACGGAACAGTCCCCAAAGTCCCATAATTGAGCAAACAGCTTGTCACCATACAAATAATTAAAATACCATTTGAAAAATGCACACTGTGACAAGTGCTAACTTAGATGTTGTTCACAGCTACTCATCTGAACACAGATTTTCAAGTGACATGAGCCCTTTTGTTTTGTTTTGTTGCTTGTTGCAGATGCTGTAAAGCAAGCAACATTTAATGAGCCATTGTAAGGGGGGGCAGTGAGGGCTCCAAACGGGCAGCATTTTGTTCCATGCAGGGTGGCAAAATCCTGAAGGTAGCAGCCGCAAGTGACCGTGTCCTTGCCCTGGGCTTCACAAGCAACAACCAACTGCACAACTCCCATTTTAGGCTTTGTATCTGTGTTTTCCTTTCTATGTTCCTTCAAACATAGCATGCTGTGCAAATTTAGTTCAGTTTTTTTTTTTTAAAGCGGCAGATGGAAATAACAGCTATTGCACTTAGCTTTCTCATTCTGCCGGCAGAGGCACACATCAATCTGTTGTCACCAAGAGCTTTGGTTCACATTTGGATCTCATTTCACTCCAAACTGTTTGGTTGGAACATAAACATTTTCCTGTTCAATGAGGGGCCTGTAGCCTCCTTCTCCTTCTGCCTGACAAGGAAATCTGTCCCCCCGGGTCCCCCAGCATTTGTTGGGCTAGACTGGCTCCAGGACCATATTGACCACCCCCCCCTTAAAACCTCTAGATAGTTGGTTCAGAAGAATCAACATTGTTCACAGGATCCACAGATGTCGGAACTAGAAGGCACCTTTATGGGAACATATCATTTTGTTGACGACTGAGGTGCTCAGAGAGAAATTCTCTAGTTTGAGACTTATGCTGGGATTCATGTTTCCCGGTCCAGGTCTTTCCAGGCTGTTGTCTACCTGCATCCTGAACATTTTGGCTGGTGGGTACAATTTGTTCTTCTGTTCTTTAAGATAAGGAAATTAAGGCTGAAAGACAAAGAAGTTATTTGTCCAAGGTAATACAGCCTGAAATTACTGTGGTATTGAAATCTTGAATTTTTTTCGGATTCAAACTACTGTGCCATCTCTACTCTACCTAGAATCTGTCCCTGGTATCACAGTGTTGTTCCATCCACATGTAGCATAGCCCAACCACAGGTCAACAGAATTCTTGCCTAGGCTCTGTCCTTCTCCTTTGACACAGTCGCCTGTTCCCATGACCTATTCACCAGAGTTGTGCTGCAGGATCTCCAAATCTGTGTCTCCCACCAAGGTTGTTAGGTTGCAATCGCTTAGACAAAAGCCTTGTGAGATAGTAGGGATAGATAGTTTGCACCAAAGCCTGGCAACAACGTGCAAGTGTTGGTTGAATGAGCCCCTGTCCACCATCCCGAAGCCCACAGACCCCCTCTTCTGGGGGAGCAGGTGCTTAGGGAGGGCTGCTCATCCTAGGACTGGAAGGAGCCAGGTCTCCTCACAAGATGTGGTCAAAACCACACAGAAGTGTGGCTGCTGTGATCAGTGTCCTCCCTTAGTATTGGATTTCTTGGATGAACATATATGGTATCAGGAAGCAGTAAGTTGCATAGGAGATTTAAAGGGGGGCAAGGGGAATCACAAGAGGTGAAAGAGGGAGAGGACATTAGCATCAAGAGGTGAGAACTTGTTGAGATAAAAAGATAAGATGCACATTGATATGTCTTCTCTTAAGAAATGTCTATTTAGCTCCACTGCCTACTTTATAACAGAATTAGTTGTTTTTTTCTGATGTTGAGTTGTTTAAGTCTCTTGTATATTCTGGACATTAGTCCCTTGTTGGATGAATAGTTTGCAAATATTTTCTTCCATTTAACAAGTTGTGTCTTCACTCTGTTGATTGCTTGCTTTGCTATGCAGAAACAGCATTTGCTACAGTCCCATTTGTCCAACATCACTAATCATTAGGGAAATGTAAATCAGAACCACAGCAGGATATCATCTCACCCCAGTTAGAACAGCTATTATCAAAAAGAAATAACAAATGCTGGAGAGGGGGCATAGAAAAGGGAACTCATATACACTATTGGTAGGAAGGTAATTGGTACAGCTGTTATGGAAAACACTATGAAGAGTTCTCAAGAAGCTAAAAATAGGACTACAATATGGTCCAGCAATCCAATTTCTGGGTATTTATCCAAAAGAAAGGAAATAATATATTAACACCCCTATGTTTATTATAGCACTATTCACAACCAATACATGAAGCCAACTTAAGTGTCTGAAAGTGGATAAGTGAATGACTGGATAAAGAAAATGCTGTTTATATACACAATGGAATACTATTCAACCGTCAAAAAGCATGAAATTGTGTCATTTCCAGCAACATGGATGGAATTGGAGGTCATTATGTTAAGTGAAATAAGGCATAGAAAGACATATTGTATTAGACTCCCTCACATGTAGGAGCGAAAAAAGTTGATCTCATGGAGGTGGAGAGTAGAATTATGATTACCAGAGAGAAGGGTGGCGTAGAGAAGGATGAAGAGAGGTTGGTTAATGAATACAAATACAGTTAGATAGAAGGAAAATGTTCTAGTGTTTGACAGCAGAGTAGGGTAACTAGTTAACAACTATTTGTTGTGCATTTTCAAATAGCTAAAAGAGAAGATCTGGAATGTTCCCAACACAAAGAAATGATAAATGTTTGAGCTGATGGATATGCTAATTACTCTGATTTGATCATTGCATGTTGTGTGCATGTATCAGAATATCATATCAATTTAAAAAGTGAAAAAATAAAATGGAGCTCTGTGTATGTATGCTAATCTTGCCTAGAGGGATATGCTGAACTAGAAGCTTTGCAGGAAGGTGAAGCCTCTGGTAGCTTGGGATGTGCCTGTTTTGGGGGCCATTTGGCCTTTTCCATTTACTCTAAAACATTTACTCAGCACTTCATAGAGGAGGCAGAGCTAACACTACTGGGTTGGGGATTATATCATAGCGATAGAGCATTGATAGAGTGGGCAGGTTAGACTAGGAAAACTTCAGGACTGTGGGAAAGTTCCAAGCTCATTGCCGCCTTTAGTATCTGGTGCAAAACCATGCATGCAGACAAGCAGCCCAGCTGTAGGATACTTCACACCTACCTTACTGTTAGACTCTTATCAGATACACCTGCAGCACTGTAGTCCTTCTATCCAGGGTGTGACCACCAAGGCAGGAACTAGCTTAGAGACCCTCTGGAGCATGTGCATCAATAGCTAAAATTGACCTAAGATAACCATAACCTTCCTTTACCTTCATTGTAATACTGTCAACATAAACTTACCCTAGGGGAGCCTTCCACTCCCATCATGCACATGAGGCCATGACAGTACCAGTATGACCCTATAAGGCCTGAAACTCCCCACCTGATGTCACGGGGGAGTAACAGAGAGCCAGCCCTGAGACCAATTGTTTCTAGGAGATACCCATCCCCAAACCTGCTACTGAATACCCCTCAGATTAAAAATTATAGCTCACCAATAGCTGACTGCAGAAACAGCAGCTTTCCTTCAGCTGTTTCTGCCCACTCTCCTTTCTTGAGAGTGTGCTCTTCTTTGCTTAATAAAGCTGCTTGCCTAGCCCACTCTTCTGTATGTTTGTGAATTTATTCTAAACATGAACACAGGAACCTGTCGTCAACCGTCTCACTCTGGGAGAAGCATTTCTGCCGGTAAGACTCGCAGGATTCTCATCAACAAGGGTGCCTGCATAATGAACATTTGTATACCTAACCCTGAGCTGTACCCCACATCTGTAAAAAAAAAAAAAAAAAAAAAAAAAGAATCGCAGGATTTTCATTGAAGGAACAGCTAATTACTGATAGGCTTTAGATGAACTATTTAAGGAGAATGAGCCTGATTCCCAGCCCATACTTCCCAGCCCCACACCAAACAAAAATGTCTAGAAGAGTTAGGGGCTCTGGCCTATGGATTCAGCACAGGCAAATAAGAGGTATTCATTGCTTGTGTGATAACCTGCTTAGGCATTCTGGAGGGAAGAATTGGTGCATCTTCCTTGTTTTCACCGATACCTGTTTGTAAGTCTTAGAAGCACCCTGGTGTTTGAAGTTGTGCATTTGGAGAGGTATACACAAGGAAACTGATGGATGAATTTGGACTTGTAGAAACTTGGATTCCTCATGCTTTGCCTGCAGTCTCAGATGTGAAGAGAGTGTATGTCAGTATCCTCCTAGGCCAGGAGGGAATTTACCCCTATTTGTCATGAATAGGAACCTATTGGCTTAAAATAGCATGATGATAGCTAGTAAATAGGCAAGTGAATGAGGAGAGGCAGCCCTCACGTGAATAATGAAAGAGATGTGTGAATGGGGATATAGTGAGGGTTCATTGATAAATTTAATGCCATATGGTAAATGACCACCCAAGAGACAGTACTCAGGAGAGTTCTGATTGACTTAGTCATTGATTCAGAGCTAATGCATTTTTAATGGCTACCCAGATGCATTTTCTAATTGGTGATTACATCACTGTGTGTTCCAGAATAAAGCATGAATCATCTTCCAGTGACGAGGAGCACACAGCTGCCAAGCCATCAAATGCGGGCCACCTCCCTCTTTTGTCTAATATCAGCTACAAAAAGACCCTCCGGCTCACTTCAGAGCAGCTGGTGAGTCTCTTGTTCCGTGTTTGTAAGGCGTCACCCGTGAGGGTCCTGCAGACTCAGGATGTGTGTGATGGTCTGCATGCTCCTTTCATGACACCTTTCATCCCAGCCTGCTGCCCCTCAATTTGGTACCCATGTTTCCACCTGACTCGAGTCCCTGTCCTAGATGACTCCTAGTATTATTTCTCCTTCTGTCTCTCCTTCTTCCCAGCCAGCCCTGGAGGCGCTTGTTTTCAAGTGTTGAGTGGAAGGCAGTCTGACTGAGCTCATTTAACCTGAGGTGTCAATCACTGAGAGACTTTAAAATCTCTCAGGGGTGTTTTTGCTTTAAGAGAGATGTTTGTTAACTCAAGTTCATCTCTTAAATGGGTGGAAATCAGCAGTTGTGAGGGAATTTAGAGAAATTCAGGTCAAGGGCATCAACTGATCACAAAGTAATTTTTTTTTTTTTTTTTTTTGAGTATATGTGGAAGACGAGTTTTAATTACAAGCCCCTTCCTCTCCTGGATCCTTTTTTTCCGTGACCAGTGAGTAGGTATCCTTGCTTGTTTGTGAATGAAGTCTTTTGCATTTATTCTGCAAGTTGGTGGAGAGCCTGGCTTAGGTATGAGGGTGTTTAATAGAAAAAGATAAAGAACAGGCCCAGACATCCACTTAGGCTGCATGTGGGACCCTGCAGTGGAATCCTCTGTGTGACACTGGGCTTTGCCAGCAGTTCTGGGGGACATATGGAGTCAGGCAGCCTGTGGGTCTGCACAGCCTGCTGGTGCACACCAGGAGATCCCAGCACAAAGGTGCAAAACTGCCACAAAGTAATTTTGCCTTCTGAATTTGGTGTGATTTCCCCGAGTCTAGACTATATTCTTTTGGATATGAGGTATGACTGATAACCAAGATACATGTATTTTCACACTTGGCTTAAATTTGTCTCCTCAAATCATGATCCTTCCTGTTTAGGCACAGAATGGGAAATGTGGCCTATTCTGAAATTGTGATTTATTATGCCAAGCCTTATAGCCTGTCATTTAACCCTGTCTAATGATTCTTATCCAGAAATACTGGATCAAGTTAGCATTATCCCTGCAAGTAGAACGCCTTTGCTGGAAGTGGGCAAGTAGCATTACAAGGAGGCCCAAGAGAAACTGAGGCTTAGATTTGCCTATCACCCCCCAAAAGAACTACAGTAAGGAACGGATGGGGAGAAAGAATTATACAGTTGCCTAAGTTAATGATTTGTTTTCATAAAACCTAATCCTGCTTCTCGTGGAACAGAAGTAAAATATTTCTTGATCCAAAATATTCATGTCTTTCAGAAAAGCTTGAAGTTGAAGAACGGCCCCAACGACGTGGTTTTCAGCGTCACTACACAGTATCAAGGCACCTGCCGCTGTGAAGGCACTATCTACCTCTGGAACTGGGATGATAAAGTCATCATTTCTGATATTGATGGAACAATCACCAGGTACATCTGCTGGCTTGGGGCCGTGGTAGATTTCTTTGCTCAACGTGTTACCACTAGGCCTTGTGCTGGCACTTCCAAGTCTCCTCTTTGGGTGACCTCGTGGGACTTGTATGGTTCACCTTCTGGTGCAGTCAGGGCTGTTTATGTAGTTTTTTTTTTTTTTGTTCCTTGAATTCAGTAGCTCTACTTAGGGCTTGGTTTTTGGTATTATCTCCCTGACTTTGTTGCTTCTGTGCATGTTCCTGAAGAGCACCTTTTCACTTTGGTTTAGCAAACTACGGGCCTTGATGCATGATCACATTGGAGGTATCCTTTTGTGATTACCATGTCCCACCCCGAGCATGCTCATTTGGTGACTTGAGCCTTGGGCTTTCTGTCCAGAAAGAATGTCATGGGTCTTGTTTGCATTTTTTATGAGGTATACATGGTACAATGAATCTGAATAGGATTTTTATGATATTTTTCTCTCTTTTCTCTTTATTTAGATCTGATACTCTTGGCCACATTTTGCCTACCCTTGGGAAGGATTGGACCCACCAGGGCATTGCTAAGCTGTATCATAAAGTGAGCCAGTAAGTACAGAGTGCTCTTTTCTTGACTCTCGTGCACTGCTGGTGTGTGCGTGATACTTTGCACACAGAATCTTTCCTGCCCAGGCTTTAGGTGACTTGTAGAGAGGGCTGCATCTAGACCAAAAAGGGGTGATGGGGTGGGGAGTGATGGAGATTTCTGTGTGTGCAGTGAATCCTGGCAAATCCAAATTTGAGTTCAATATCAAGAAACATGAAAGGAAGTATAAGTGAATCAAAATTGCTAGGAGAAAGTAGAAGATGTCAGCATTAGGGGTAGGATTGGGTCTCACTTCATACCAAGGAATGTCAAAGATAACCAGAAAGAAACAGTGGGCTTCTATGTGCCAAGTGCTATCCTGTAGGCTATAAACTTGCAGATGCCAGCAAGTTTTGGTTATGGTGCAGGTCTGCAACTGGCAGTGCATGTCTTACCCATCCGGTCTATGGAGTGCTCTGGTGAGTAACCAAAGCAGAACAGTGTCCACCATGGGGCCCATGGCCCAGGCATCAAGCTGGAGAGGAGTTCTCAAACTTCTAGCCTGTGTTGGGCATGTGCGTTATTTTGCTGAAATCCTACAGTAGTTCTGAAAAGCATGTAATGTCATGTCTGTGTTTAGGCAAGTTAAATTAACAGAAAGTTATGTTTGTCCAAGTTCCCATAGCTCTAGTCTGCCTCCAGGGTTTAGAACCCTGCAGGGATTCTCCTCTCCCTCCTTCTACTCCCCCTTTCCACCTCTCCTCCAAGCTAGATTGCCAGGTCCAAGTGTCTGACCCACTTAGCCACAATTCTCCAACCTTTTGTTGACTGGAGTCTCCCCTAAGAGTGAAATTTCTCCCTCCAGTGCATCCTGTTCCCTTCCAGTTGCAGCTAGAAGGTGCTCTGTTTGCATCAGGATAACAGGTCTTGCACGAGTGGGGAGGATGAGGGAGTTACATCCTAGTGAATTTCAGGATAGAAGTCCCAGGCCCGTGATTCCCACCCTAATCTTGCCTCTGGCCCATGATGACAGGGAATGGGTCACCAGCCAAAGCTATTTCTGGAACTCTGTGAACACAGATGGATGAAATAAGTTTCCTTGGCCCTCATTCATTCATTCATTCATCCATCCAACATTCATTGTGCCCAGCCCTATGGCAGGTGCTTGGCATTGTCATGAGCTAGATAGTCTCTGACTCTGGGATCTTAGCATCCAGGAGAGGAACAGTGATTTCGAGCCAGGACTTTATATCCTGGTGGGACTAAAGGCTTCGAATTTTGCTGGGTGCATGCAAGTAGTATCAGCTACTCAAGAGACTGAAGTGAGAAGATCGCTTGGACTCAGAAGTTTGAATCCAACCTGGGCAACATCGTGAGACCCTGACTCTTAAAAAAAAAGTAATAAAAGCTCCAGATTTCATCCTATATGCCCAGCTCATTGGTTTAACTTTACTTTTCTATATTTCATCTTTTAAAAATTGCAAAAACTATACATGCAGCCTAAAAAATAAAAAGAGGCCAAGATTATAGATTTTTAAAGTGTAGAGGTTTTATTTTACTCCTCTCTGCCTTGGCGTTAAGCTAATCCCTTCCCTAGAAGTTGAACTCCTGGGAACAGTTTGATTCTACCTTGCTGAACCTAAAAAATTTATTTTCACTCCCACACCTGTACTCACGTTATTTAATTCTGTATCATATCTTTCTGTTTCACCCTATGTAATATTCTATTCTTTTTAGCTGCTATACAAAATTCTAATATATGGATATATCACACATTATTTAACTAGTTCTCTATTGATGAGCATGTAGGTGGTTTCCACTTTTTTTCACTATTTCCACAGTGATGCAATAAGTATTTCCATATAATTTTTATGATATTGAATGCACGTATAAATAAATAAAGACACACACACTTAGGGAAGTCCTGTTGTAAACTAGATTCCCAGAAGTCGAATTCCCGGGTCAGAGAATGATCACATTTAAAGATTGGATCAATATTCCTGAATCGCCCTCTAAAAAGCTTCTCCCAGGCTGCGCTCCTGTAGATGGTGTCTCTGCTGAACCTCCTCCCCACAGCCTCGCTGCAGGCTGACCTTTCATTCAGAAGGATTAATCTACTCATGAGCTGCCTTGGCTTTTCGTGACACTGAAAATTGCATCTATTTTTAGTTGAAAGAAAGAAACCCTTGTGGGTCAGGATATTGAGTAGTTCATGGCCTGATTCATTTGGTTTTTGGAACATAGATCTATTCCTGTCCTTATTGTAACATTAGAAGAGCACAGTTGCTTTTTAAATTTTTTTTTTTGGTCTTGATTTGTATCTCTCTTGGATTTTCTCAGAAGAGATATCTTCTTGAAAAATAAAGTTGTGTAGCTTATCAAAGAACACCTGACCATTTTTTTCTTTGATTGATTGACTTAGAATGAGTGAAATCTGTTGGTTAGGATCCGAGAGATTTCAGAATACTTTGTGAATTATCATTTTGGTTGAGAGGTGGGGGCCTAATGTGATGTGGAGGCCTGACATTTTCTTGTCCTTGGGTTTGATACTCATTGGTAGTGGCACTCAAATAGTCAGGCCAGTGTGATCTGAAGGGGTGGCCAGAACTTCTGAAGCACCATCTCAAGAACAGCTTGGCCTTGGCCTTTAGGCGCTCCCTGCTCAGTAATACAGGAAGAAGGACAAGCTCCTTGGTGTAGCTTTCGAAACCTGGCAGCTTTGTGTCCCAGCCTTCTGCCAAGCCCTTATTTTCAGCTGCTGCTTCTCAGACCTTCCAGCTCTAATCCTGTGACCTTGTTCCCCTCTGCACTCTGTTCCTATCTTCCCACTCTGCACTCTGTTCCCTTCTTTCTAACAATTCTCATTTGAAGGCCTCTGCTTGACAGGTCTTTACCTCTGATTTTTGCCTCTACACATTTTTTTGGCCTTTAATGCCCAGCTCAAATGCTACAGTCATCAGGAAGCCTCCCCAGACCCAAATCTATGACCCTGGCCAGCTCTCACCTCCTCACCCTTCCCTTGGCTGCCAAGCTCTATATTGATATCTGAGACCTCAGGCCTGGCTTTGGTCTCTGTCATGGCCGACCAGGCTGGACATGATGGCAGGTTTCTGTAGCTAACTCTTAGTAAAAGTAAATTCCATCTTTGTAACCTCTTACAGGTCACCTTGTGTGAAGGCCTTCAGCAGCCACGTTGAGAGAAGTGCCAGGACAAAGAATTGACAAGGGCTTGTGACTCACTGTTCTGACAAGTCTAGGTCATTCTTTTGAAGCTGTATTGTGATTACACAAGGAATTACTTAGAGAAATGGTTATAGCATGCCAGGGCACCAGGGAAGAGATGCCATTTAATTCAGGATTGCGAACTCATGCCACTTTCCTGATACTGCTTCCCTTGAATTTGGGTACCACTTAAATTATATGCACTGCAGTATTGGAAAATGAAAAGGCCGATCTTGCAGTTAGCCACTTGTCTGAAATATCAGAAAAGAACAATTTTATTTATTTATTTGCTTAATTTAATTACTTGTTTGAATATGTTCAGCCCATGAGAAATCTGTGAGGTTGATTGTCACATTGTTCTTTGAGAGAGTATAAAGCATGCTTGGTTATTGATTGAAGAGAGCTATAGCAAATACATATGGAAGATATATGAAACACCTTCATGTTCAGATGTGTTCAATAAGTAGAAGGAAAAGAAAGAAAGACTGCTTCTTATTATACAAGGGGACTCCCCAAAAAACTTGAATTATCTTTTTGGAGGATGGACATCTTGTACAGTCTTCTCTTGCTATATAAGTGTTTTATGAACCTATCATCATCAGTGTACCAGCTAGCATTGTTGTGAGAGGTGTTCAGTGAATCTTTTGTAACAAGCAGGTGACTGGTTCTTCCACCATGACAATGCACCTACCCATACCACACTGAGTATTGAGTGTGTTTTTTGGACCAAAAACAGCATGACCCCTGTGCCCCACTCTCCCTATTCACCCCATCTGGCCCCAGGCAACTTTTTGTTTCCCCCAACGAAAAAAGTCTTCAAAGGGAAACATTTTGCAGATGTGGAAGAGGTGAAACAATAAATAGCAGAAGCACTAAAAGTCATCAAAATTGACAAATCCAAAAACTGTTTTGAGCAGTGGAAAAAAATGTCTTGATGGGTGTATTGCATCAAGCAAAGAGTACTTTGAAGGAGACTGAAGTTTAAACATGTAAGAATAAGTACAATTTTTTATAAATAAATTCTTGTTTGTTTGGGGTCCCCCGCTATAGCTAGATCCTTGAGGTAATGGGTCTTTTGGAGCCTAAATTTGTACAATAACTGCTCAAATTTTCTACCATGTATAATATATATTTTTATACCCATGTAACCAGAAATCAGTGTCTTCATGACTTAGCAAGAATGAACACTGAATGTGTTTCCACAGATCAGTCAGTTCCCCTGTGCCTAAGAGTGTGCCGTTGGCAAGGCAGTGGACTGAGAGTGGAAAATCATCATGCATGGCCTCCTTAGGATCTTTTTCCTTCTCCTGCTCACAGCAGTTATTTCTTTCTTGCATGTCAGCTCTTCTTAGTTTATCGAAGTCATCACTCTCTGCCAGGAAGAGATAGGATGATGAGCTGTATGGAAGGTCTGGTTGGGAGCCAGGGGCTAGGATTCCAGAAGCCTGCAACCCTGAACTCTTGTATCATGTATATTCCCCACTCTGAGCTTTGGTTTTCTCTTCTCTAAAATGAGGAAATTAGATTAGATGATCTGTTAGATATTGCTAAACCAGAAGTGCCCTGCTATTGGGATGTGTGGCTGGATTATACAAGTATGTGTGCACTGCTGCTGAGTGTTACTTTTCCAGGCCAAATCTCAGTTGGAACTCTGAGGAACTAGCTGGACTCTGTGGTTGCACACTTGCCAGGAACCAGGAACTGTTTTAGTAGAAGCTTGTGATCATGGAGAGGGAGACATTGAAAGCTTCCTGTAATAATACAGTGAGGGGCAAGCAGAATGAGAGAGATACTGATTTCGTAGGACATGAGTGAAGGAGAAATTAATTCTGATTGGTCAGAGGTGTCAAAAAAGGCTTCCATGAGAAGGTGGCATTGAGTAGACTCTTCATGGAAGAGTAGGGCTTTGAAGGAGAGGGAAGCTCATCCTAGATAGAAGTAGGAACAAGAGGAGAGGCCAGGAGACGAGCAGGTGTACAGTGGGTTCACGGAAAGGGAGGCTCCAGAAAGTCGGCAGGAGCCCGAGCACAGAGGACTGTGGATCCTTTCTTCTTCTTTTTTTCCTAGAGATGAGGTCTCATTATGTTGCCCAGGCTGATGTTGAATTCCTAGGCACAAGTGATCCTCCCACCTTCCCCTCCCAAAGTGCTGGGATTACAGGTGTGTGCCAGCAAGTTCGGCTGAGCCCTCCTTTCTTAATGTCACTGGTGATCACCCTTCTTCTTATGGTTGCAAATGAGGCTACAGATTCCTTTTTCTCTACAACAGTGGCTGTCAGTTGAGGGTGCTTTTGCCTCCCGTGGGACATATGGCAGTATCTTGGGATTTTTTTGAAAATCATGGCTGGGGCGTGCTATTGGTCCTAGTGAATGGAGGCCAGGGATGCCGCTAAATATCTTGAGATACAGCAACATAAGGACCTCTTTTTCTTAATGCACGTTTATCCTGTCTCAGATGTGAACATTGAGAAACTCCCAATGTAGAGGCTTATCTTGCAAAATGCTCCCAAAGGTAATCTTTCCAAACTATTTAAATCTCCCTGAGTCAGTGTTTTAAGAGGGATGTAGAGATTGGGACAGAAGGAGAAAACTGTATGTACTAAGCCTGGGCATGGATTCCTCTTTCTTTTTTTGCTCTGGTATTTCCCCAGAGCCCTGTTCCAATTGCCGAGAATGCTGGAGAAACAAGGGCGATATGTTTGTGTATTGCGTCTTTATTCACTGTCCCTTCTTACTCCTGGATCCCACCTGTCCTGTTTTGGTCACTGTTTGCCCCACAGCATTCCTTGCTCTTGTGGGACAGGACCATGCCGTGTCCCTTCCCCACTCCATCCCCCTCTGAAGCCCTGTATGCAGCTTGGCACAGGAGTGCTCAGTGAGCGTGCATTGAAGGGATGGCAGAAGGAGACACAGATTGAGCAGAGACTTGGGTTGGACCGACCTGTAGGGCATGTCCTACCACTGGTTACCCTTCTGAGTGAGGGGTCTTCCCTGTGAGGAGCACCAGTAAGACAGCAAGTGCAGCAGGCACTTGTTGGCATTTCAGACAGCTTTCACTGAAGAGGGGAGGGAAGGCTCTCAAAGGATAATTCCTGCTGCCACCAACAAGCAACTCCCCCATTAGGACATCCTCAAGCTGACCTTCCAGCTAAGTTTAATAATGCAAGAATGCTTGCATGCTGACATCAACTCATTGACATGATCTGACTATGAAATATATCAGAAAATCAAGTTTTGAGTGAAATTAGCATCTCAGACCCCTGCAGGTGGCAGCTTTTAGGACTTTGATGTGGAGAACTATACACAGAATAGTGATTTTTAAAAAAGATTGCATTAATTAGACACCTAAAATACAAAGATGTTTAGTAATTAAAAAGGTCACTTGATATTCAGATGCCATCCCTGTGTTCCAAACAAGCTGATATTTCTAGATACTTTTTGTCTTAAAATTTTCCTGTTTCTTGGTTTTAAAGAGCATAGTATTGAACGTTCTAGAGACACCTCCTTTGGTCATCATAAAATATTTATGGTAGAACGATAAGTCAGCTAGGAAGTGGGTAGTTGATTTGCTCATTCTGCAAATATTCACCAAGTGTCTGCTACATGCCAAGTACTGTTTTGGCACCAGGGTTATCACAAGGAATGTCCCCATCTTTGTGGAGTTCATGGATTAATGAGAGGTGCAGTCAAACAAGAGACTGAAATGTAGTATTAGCAATAAGGGCTCTGAAGACAAATAGAGCAGAGCAGTGGGCCTTGCTGGGATGAGGAGTGGGTCTGTGTGTTTCATCACATGGCAGGCAGGTCAAGAGAAGGGCCCTCTGGGGAGGTGGGATTTGAGCAGAGACCTAGAGGAGGTGAGGGAGCGAGCAGGCCCTGAAGATGGAGGAATGGAATTCGAGGCAGGAGAAACAGCACTCGCAAATACCAGTGCAGAAATGAGCATGGTGAGTTGGAGGAATGCTCAGAACATCTGTGAGATTTGCCATGAGGAAGGGACTAGACAGTCGTAGAAGATGGGGTGGAGAGAGGTAGGGACTAGGTCTTCTAGGTCTCGCAGCCTGCAGTGAAGGTTCTGGGTCATGTCGGAGGGAGATGGCAGCTCTTGAAGGGTTTTGAGTGTGAGTAGATTAAATTTTAGTTTTCTGAGGGTACTGTGTGGACACATGGCAGAAGCAGGGAGGTGATTCAAAGCTGTTGCAGCAGTGGAGGCCAAGAGGCCATGGCGGTGTGGATAGGATAGTAGTGCTGGATGGTGCCAAGGGGATGGCTTGGGTGGGCTTTGGGGATGGAGCGGATGGGACCTACTGATGGCATGAGGTGGGGGCTGAAGTTGTAAGTAAAACAAATACTCAGGATGGCGGGGAAGTTTTGGAGAGTGCCATTGCACTCAGCTGTGGGGACTCCCGGAGCAGTCAAGGGTGACTTGAGGAGGAAGTCTTGGGCAGTGTTTGGTGTCGTATAAACCCAGTTTGAGGTACTACTGCGTATCTGATAAGTGATGTGGAGTTGAGTATATGGGCCCGGAGATTCGGACAGGGGTCTGGGCAGGATATATATGCACTTGGGAGATATCAGTGTCCAGATGGTATTCAACAACTTTTTAATAATATGTTTTATTTAATCCAGTGTATTCAAAAATGATAACAATTAGAGAATATGACTTTTTTTTTTTGAGGTGGAGTCTTGCTGTGTCACCCAGGCTGGAGTATAGTGGGACATTCATGGCTACCCCAGTGTCAACCTGCTGGGCTCTGGTGATCCTTCCACCTCAGCCCTCCAGGGAGCTGGAACCATAGGCACGTGCACCACACGCAGCTAATTTTTGATTTATTGTAGAGACAAGGTCTTGCCAAGTTGCCCGGGCTGGTCTTGAACCCGCGGGCTCAGGCAATACACTTGCCTCGGCCTCTCAAAGTGCTGGGATTACAGGCTGAGCCACCGAGATCTGCCTGAAAATTATTATTATTATTATTTTGAGTTGGAGTCTCACCACCGCAGACTCGACCTCCGGCGATCCTTCCACCTCAGCCTTCCAAGTAGCTGGAACTACAGATGTGCGCTACCACTCCCGGCTGATTTTTTGATTTATTGTAGAGGTGAGGTCTCGTCAAGTTGCCCAGGCGGGTCTCGAACCCACGGGCTCAGGCAATCCACTCACTTTAGCCTCCCAAGGCTCAGGATTACAGGCTGAGCCACTGAGCCCGGCTCTGAAAATTATTAATGGAATATATTTTACATTCTGTTTCTTTACAGGAGGGCTTTGAAAGCTGGTGTATATTTCACCCTTATAGCACATCTCATTCCAGGCACTACATTTCCAAAGGTTAAAAAAAGTGAAACGGAGTCTTGCTAAAGCTGTAAAGTTGTGTTTAACAGAAGAATAGTGTTCGTTGCTTCAGTTTAGATACGGCATTTAGAGCCGTAGAAGTGGGTGAGACCTCCAGGGCCCCTAGGGACTGAGGATGTGAGAAGAAATGAAGCCCAAGGCCCTGTGTGCATGTGGCGGCTGGGCAGAGAGCTGAGACGATGTGTCTGGGAGGGAGGGGACAGCCACCAAGGAGGAGCCAGCCAGGAAACTGTGGAGCCCTGGGGGCTGAGTGATGAGGGTGCTGAGTGATGAGGCTGTAGAGAAAGGAATGAGCCCCCAAGGCAGATGCCACTGGGAAGTCTCGTCCTCAAGGATTGGGAGCTGATACCTGGATTTGACAAGATGGGTAACAAAGATGACCTTTACAAGGACAACAAGGAAGGGAGGGGACGAGAGCCCGTTTGGAGTGGGTTGAGGAGAGGAAGTAGCATGAAGAAGTGGAGTCGGTGCCTATACACAGGTCTTTGAAAGAATTTTGCTAGAAAGGAGGTCAAAGGAACGGGATCTTAGCCAGAGAGAGAGAGTAGAGAGATTTTTTTTAGGCTTATTTCTCAAATGCAAATAAGATTTTGTAGAAGATGGACTTTCCTATGTGGAGGAACTGACGACAGGGCCATTCTTCATGGAACAGATTAGGATCAGGGTTCATGATTGCAGAAAGTTTCCATTTTGTGAGGTCACTAAATACGAATGTTTTGTCTCTTTTTCAGGAATGGATATAAGTTTCTCTACTGCTCTGCACGTGCCATCGGGATGGCGGACATGACCCGGGGCTATCTGCACTGGGTCAACGAGAGGGGCACAGTGCTGCCCCAGGGACCCCTGCTGCTGAGTCCCAGCAGCCTCTTCTCTGCCCTGCACAGGTACTGCACCCTGGTACCCACTCCCCATTCCGGATCTTGGGACCTGTTCGGGCCCTGTCTCCTCCTAACTGCAGGCTTTGCCAGCATGGCTTCCTAACTGGTCTTCTCCAACCAATGCCCATGATCCATAGCGGACACCAGAAGAACCATTTCAAAATGTAGGTCTTGCCCCATTAGCTCCACCAGTGCCCTTCATTGGCTCATCATGGCTCTCAGGACGAAATCCAGATCAGCTTGGTGCTTGGTGGCTCTTCATGACCTGCCGCTTTTCTCCTCTCTAGTCACATTTCTCTCCAGGTTTTACAACTCGGGCTCCAGCTCCCAGACAATATTCTGTACTTGAGCCTTTGCACATGTTGTTCCCCTGTTTTGGCGGGGCTCTCATGCACCTTCTCTCCCTTAGTGGTCTGGTGAGTCTTCATGGCACTTAGAGGACCAACTGTATTCATCTCATTGGGGGTCTTCAGTGGCGCCTCTATCAACTGCCACTGTCCACCTGGCCTTGGACACTCTGTCAGAGTTCTAGGAATGCTGTTTTCTTTTAAGCGTCTTCTATCAGACTTTCTTTTAGCCAATTTCTGATTACCCTGCTGTCTTTACTTTCTAGGCCATGTTCGAGGCATTTAAGCCAACTTACTCTGGCCCCATGGAGTGCAGGGAGGAAAATGCTGGGCTTCCCTGTAGTTCACTGAGGTTCAGGGTAATTTCCCAGGCTTCTCTCAAAGCCTAATGTTTGTGGTCAACCACGGGACATTGGTCCCTGCTGAAGGCTAATTGTATCAGCCTGTTTGTCATATACTTGGTCTTTAAGACCCAGTGAAAGGCTTTGACATGATTCTCCTGAATTTGAGGACCAGAGGAACTGCTTGTTGCTGCTAACCCTGCAAACGATGGAAAAATCTAGATGGGCTCAAAATGCCATGTTGATTCCTGAGCATTTTTCTTTAGCCCTGTAGATATCGTTGCCATCATAGCTTGTTTTGTGTGAGCAAATTTTTTTTTCTATAGTAAAAAATCTCAAATAAAAACTTGCACATTTTAGGGAGAAAAGTCAGGCAAAACCTATTATATATGTCAAGTCCTGACATCTATCTTGGCAGCATAGATCTCCATAGAAATCCTGATATTTTAATAAGATTGTGTCCCTAAGCTATGCTGACAATTTACAACAAGCTACTCTTCAACATACGCTAAGTGCTAAGGCTTTGTTAGGCCAAGTGAAAAGTAGACATTGTTACTCTGACATCCTGTCACTAAAAATAAATTTAAATTGACCCTTTTTGTTTCCTTACTTAAGTAACGTTGTTCAAGATGTATTACTTTTTCCCAGTGAGGAATTATTTTTTTTTTAAAAGGAAACCTTTTTTTTTTTTTGAGTTGGAGTCTCACTGTTGCCCAGACTGGAGTGCAGTGGCCACTCCCGGCTACCGCAGCCTCGACCTGCTGGGGCTCCAGCGATCCTTCCACCTCAGCCTTCCAAGTAGCTGGAACTACAGGCGTGTGCTACCACGCCCGGCTAATTTTTTGATTTATTGTAGAGATGAGGTCTCGCCTGCCCAGGTGGGTCTCGGAAACCTTACAATTTGTTTGTCCTCTTGGAGGTACTCCTGGGGCAGATAGCCACCAGCCAGGTCCTTCCCAGGGCTGCTGTGTGTTGACTGCCCTGCAAATTTTCTAGAATTGATGGCTAAGTTTACCATGAGCACATGTGACCTTACGTCACAAGACTTTTTTTTTAGCCGGGTTCCCACTCTGCTGTCCAGGCTGGAGTGCGGTGGCATGATCACGGCTTACCGCAGCCTCAACCTTCTGGGCTCAAGTGATCTTCCTGTCTCAGCCTCCTGAGTAGCTGAGGCTACAGGTGCATGCCGCCACACCCAGCTAGTTTTTTGAGTTTTTTGTTGAGACGATGTCTCACTGTGTTGCTCAGGGTGATCTTGAACTCTTAGGCATAAGCAATCCCTCCCACCTTGGCCTCCCAATGTGCTGGAATTACAAGCATGAGCCACTGCACCTGGACGCAAGATTCTTTAAGTGCAATTCTTATTATACTGCCTAGGTTTGAATTGGAATGAAGTAAAAGGAATGTAGTGGGTGGGGATGCATGTAGCACAGGTGGCAAAAATAAGCTCTCAGCATGGGGTGGCAAAGAGGGCTCTGAAGTAAGAACTTGAGCTGGAGCTCTGGTGCTGCTTGGCAACTAATGAGACTTCTGTGGCGTTGGAGAGCAGCCCCCCCCCCCCCCCCCCCC